AAATTTCCTCACACTAATATTTTATTCTCCACAATATCATTTCCTCGCAACATTTTCTTATCATATATATATATATATATATATATATATATATATATATCTTGCAGTGCACTTACGTGTTCCGTCTGAAACCGAATGCAGAGGTGAACGCTCACATACAACGCACGAGCCCCGGCTCGCAGCTGGTGCAGCCGATGGAGGACGTGCACGGGCTGCGTTTGATCGCCTTCCACCCGATCTCGCGCACCGATGTCGCGGTGCACGTGACGTCTGCCCAGCCGGAGCACTACCGCACGATCAAGGTGAAGCTCTGCCAGGATGATATGCCTGATTCGCCTGTGCACGTGTCTAAGTTAGACGTCCAGCAGACCGGTAAGATCGCCAGCAGCTACAACGCCGGCTTCCTCGTGCACTTCCCGCCGCTGCAGGCCGACAGCCGCCGGTACTTCGTACAGTTGGAGTCCTCGCTGTCGCAGTCCGTGCACAAGTACTATACCGCGCCGGTTTACTTCGAGGCGAACTCGTCGTTCAAGTACATGAGGCTGGCCTTCAACGCGGAGCGCAAGGTCGACCAGGCCGAGATGAGTCAGACGTCGGTGGTCGCGCTGCCGTTCATCGCGCTGGTCGCCTTGGCCTTCTTCAACCGCGAGACCCTCTGGACATGGCTGAACGCGCTGCTCGACAAGCGCTCCAAGCCCGTGCCGAGCTCGAGGGCGCCCGTCCAAGCCATCCCCATCGATCCCAGGACGGACGACATCATAGTCGAGCAGATAATGAACATTAACAAGAGGAAGACGAAGCCGCGGAAGGCGTAAGTCGGTGTCATCTGACCGACGTTCGTTCTCTTCACATGTTGAGGCTCCGGTCCCCCCCCCCCTCCTTCTTCGTCTCGATCTTTTCAATCGATGACGTCGGAAACGGGAAGACGTACGTCCAAAATTCTCGCACAGTGCGTTGGAATAAAAGAATACGTCCGTAAAATCGAGCACGACTTTGCAAAACGATCCGAAAACTTTACTTTTACTTCGACAATCTCGATAAATAGTTGTGAAATCATAGCTGGAAAGGAAGATCACGTGTCGCGTTAATTTTACAATTATTACCGCAAAGAGCAAGTTTTTTTTGGGGGAGGTATTTTACAAATACGAACTATCGGTCACAAGTGGGTCGAATTTCACGGACGTATTCTTTGATTTCAGTGTGTTTCGCGCGTTTTCTCACTTCCGATGTCGTCAAGCAAAGCAACTGCAGAACAGGACCGGCTAAGCCTATTCTGTAGCTTTTAAGCTGCGTCCGGAAACCTCATCTAGATGCACACACGTCGAAGCTCGCGCCGTTCACAAACTGGGTGCACCTCAGGAGGGAAATTTTTCATCCTGAAGTTCCTTTGATGGTATTCGACGTATTTGCGTTCGGGAACTATCCGCGCTCGGAGTGAAACCTGCCTTCACCGCCGTCATTCGCTCTGCTCAACCTTCCTCTACCCTCAGGATGATATTTCCGAACGCAGCCTTAACGACAGTGTCAATATCGTTACGTTGTTGTTGCACAGATACAATATATAGCAGAAAAGTTGCGCGTCGACAACGTAATAATGGGCACTTTCAATTTAGCTGCACAAATCACAAGTATCTTATCTTTGTTATTCTCTGAGTACGTAACAAAGACAAAATGTCCTTTGTATCGACTCGTAAATGGAAAGCACCCAATAACGACCCCAATAACTGAGAAAAGTTACAGAATAAGGCTGCAGGAGCCATAAGAATCATAATCACTGCTGTGATCTCGAAGCGAAAGAAATTCACGTCAAGATCTCGTACATAGGTAGATGCAGAGATATCTTGGCCTTGGTTCATGTTTTGTAAGCCTAGCGTCTTATTCTGGACGCGTGTCGAGCGTTAAATCCACCTCTCCGATCGCCAAGTCCGAAACTATGTTTATATGTAAATCTTGCGTGAGAAGAACGGAACTTGGAATTGAAGTGGCGCATTTAGCATCCGTTGTCTACACTCTTGGACGGAATAGTTGGACACAGCATGTTCCTTTTGATGACTTTTCAAACGTATTTCGTATCTAATAGGAAAATGTACCTCTTCTAAAAATTATTAAAAAATGTAACAAATTTTCCCGTTGCGTTGCGAAACTCGTTGAAAGAGCAGTTGTACAATTATTATGTCCATGGGATTACACGGCCAGAATAGGAACGATCGCCGCATACTTGGATATATATACTCGTCACGGCGATTGCGCGCGCGTCATCGAGACGTTAGCTTCTCGACGCACTCGGTGTACTCGGGACTGTTAATATTTATATGGGTTAAGTTTATGTCGCGGGTTCGCGTCCTATTCGCTGTGCCAGACACAGATGTGTCTGCTGCGGGATGAATTCACGAGTATCTAGGAAGCTCGTCGACGTAATATTTTAAGGGAGACTTCAATACATAACGTAAAACGTAACGAGCGCAACGAGCGCGAGGATGTTCACGATCGAGAGGATCGTTCGATACATAAGCCGTTACACATCGTTAATTAAAGTAAAATGTACATATAAAGAGATTGCTGTATTGTATAATATTTTGTGCGGAGCCTCCGTTATTAAAGATTCTTACTTTCAAGTGGTCGGCCCGATACTCTCATTTTTACGAGCGAGCGTTCTTGTCCTATCTAGTGCGGGTAATTTAAAAGCGAAAATTGCGGGAGATACGGCTGATGATCGGTCATCAATTATTTTATTTTCTCAGCACATTTGGAGATTTACAGGTGACGCACTGAGCTCTTGCTGATGCGGCACAGTAATCGTCAACGTTCAGATGACGAAGTACGCCTGTAAAAGAATGCAACGAGACGTTGAGGTATACGTTTCCTCGCTGCAGCTATCTTGATTAATGACGTCAGTAATGAGAAAATCCAGAATTCTTACAAAATAGTTGAGATAAAAAGATGTGTATATATATTCGTAATTTAACAACAGTCAATCCGTAAATCGATAAATTCGTAACTTAACAATCAATAAAGCCGTAAAATTAACGTGACAAAATCACGAGGAAAAACAAATTAAAAAAGAAGGTTGCATGTTATGTCAACTTTACAGTTATCTATCGATTGTCAAAGCAGAAGTAAAAATGTTCGAAATATCACGCAAATGCGCTCGATTGATCGATGCGATCGCGCAAGTATCATTTTATGAACATATCTTAATTCTACATATTTCGCGAGAACTTTTAGCATTCATCTTCTCGCTTCTGCACAAAATTAGTTTTAAAACTTGTATAACATTATATATCCTTGCTTCTATAGGAGAATATATGAGTCTTGAATTGGTATTAATTTTTTTCGTGTGACGTCATCGAACAAGACGACCGGAGTGAGAGATCAAGAGCCTTAAATTTAATCCGTTATCGCGGAATGTTCTCATTCGGCATTTTTTGCTAACGTACCACAGGATTTGCGTTAAACATGCACTTGTTGAAGTTATAAGCTAATTCGCAGTTGTCGTTTCCATCTGAAAAATCAAAAAGAAGATCGTGTCGTTACGAAAGGTTACTTCGTGGGATATGCGATCGATGAAATGGAGAAATATGACGAAGGTGCGACATTATCAATGGATACTTGCTTATTTCGCGACACTCGTCAAGCATCTCAGATCCGACCTTCTTAAAGGCTGGCGGCATCATCTTGTTCAAAACCTTGAAGTTGATCTTACCGTCTTTTTTCAGCTAAAGAAAAAAAATCAGAGTTTCAGCGATCCGCGATCTGATAATCGCCACTACATCTATCTTATAAGGAACTCTGTTTTATTTACCACTCCCCCTTTCTCCATCACACACTTGAAGTAACACGCCAGATTATTGTCGTCCGGAAATTCGCCCTGTTCCGCCTCAACTAGCATCTCTGCAATCAAAATTAAGCGGTTGATCAATTATTATCGAGAGACGATGTGATCGACAAAGCAACACGCTGCGTGTGCTGATTTGCACATTGAATAATATTTTCGGCCGTTTCTCATCGATGACTACAGATTGTCGCGATTAAATTTGCATTATACTAGAGATATGAAAAATATGTCCTTATCACCAACATTTTTTCGTTAAATCCAAGTACAAATGTATCAAAAAGTGCAGAAAATTTAATAATTACTTTCGATTTTTCGGTGAAACAAGTGAAAAAATAAGAGCGCATACCTGCGCTCTGGTGATAATTACCAGACAAATTTATACATCCGCAAATATATCGTAGGCTCAATCATAAGCATCAAATTTATCCAACATATACTTTGAATCCTAACATAAGTACTTCAATCAAGAATATTAAATTAAAACAAACTTCGGTTTGTTTGTGTTCATTCAAATTAATCGAATTTAATTTTTTTTTCAATAAGTTTGTAATATTCTTGAAAAGAGAATAAATACTTTCATATATCATATTTGTTTCAGTAACGCAAATAGATAAAAAATGATATTCCGGCAACATACCGTTTGTCACGCCGCTGATTTCAGCGAGGCATTTTTTTCGCATACCTCCGGCCAATTTCTTCAACTCATCGTGAATTGTAGTATAATCTATGTCCTACAAGAAATATTCTCGTAAAGCGATAGAAACGGATTGGATTGATCGAGAATCGAGGACTGTCTCAGATAGAATAGAAAATGACGATGATGTTGAAGTAACGTCAAAAATATGTTGAAATAACGTCAAAATGACCAAACAGTGAATTTTGAAATAGCCTCGTCATTTCGACGTTTATAGTGATTTCCTGTTTTACCTCGGGATCGAGTTAATTCGAGTCGTTAGCTTCGCATCGATATTTCGCGCGAAACTAATAGTACGACATAACATTTGAAAACGCATACTCACTTCGCTGGAAACGACAACGAGCTGTATGACGATCAAAGAGGCGCAGATGAGGACCAAGTCGCCCCTTGCCATTTCGCATGCGGTGCACTGTCTTTCGTGGTTTTAAAAAAAATGCTCGTTCGTCTACTTAAACTTATTAAGTGGCAGCCGCGTAGGATCGACGAGAATTTATGTGGATCTTAGTGTGCGAGGGAGTGGGAAATAATAATTAGTTGGTGAGGAGAGCGCGCTCCCTCGAAATCGCCGGCGAATTACACGGGTAAATATCACGCGGACGACGTCAGGAAGTCGAGTAAGTCGGGAAAGCAGGATACTAGCATGAAGAAAAAAAATCTTCGTTGGTGTAACTGAATTTTCCGTTACTTGGAGACCGGATGAAAATTCAATTGTGGGAACAGAAAGATTCCTGTAGGAGGTTCATACTCGGTCAGTTGTTCTCAGCTGTTTCGACTGAGTTTTCATGCAACTGAATCTTCTCAGTCAGCCCGGAGTCGAAATTTTGGTCCTGTATAGAATCTTTAATTCCACGACACAGTAGGAACTAAGGATGGCAAAATAAATTCAGATTCAACTCTAATAATATAATTTATTCCTATTTTGATCTCGATGGTGTCTTAAATTTCCGTTTTCAGCGTCGAAATCGATCGTTCAAGGTAGCATTAAATGCCCTTCATAAATTCTCGTCGGCGAGAGCGCGGGGAAGACTCCGTGGGATCGATATATTGTTTAAAATACTCGGAAGAATTTGCATTGGCAATATGCAATTTGCGCACGTTGCTAACGCGAGCAAGAAGCGTGACGGTAAACATACTCGCGGCTAATTGCAGCTTGCAACCATGTAAAGTGTGTCCGATACTCCGATAGCGAGTAATTAACGGTCATAGAACGACCTCTTCCTGGCTCGTAGCTAGGCGGTAATTTTGGTATTTCGAACGTTACGCGCTCGTATCAAGCACCAAACACATGTTGCGTGTTACCGCCGCGAAATAAGACGTTCGCCTTTTAATTACGGCCGCGGCAATTCCGCGTGTTGTGTAATCCCACGTCACAAAAGTCCGTGCAATCGATCTCGCGGCAATTAAATCTGTCTCGCTGCCAATCGAAGTCCGTCCTCTCCTTTTTATCCAAAAGCGTCCTTGACGCATACTTCGCTTTCGCACGGGAGGCGTGTTTGCACCTACAAGCTTCAGCACGTCGACTACAGACGTGTCACATGTATGATGACAATTGATTGGGTATTTAATTTTACTACGACGAACTTACATCGCGGTTCTCCGTAGGTGACCAACCATGAAAAGATGTAACGGCCTGGAAGAGCTTAATCGCAGCTATTGTGGCGATGTGCTGTTCAAATTATTGTGGGAGGATATAATTTTGCTAATTATTAAGTTTTAAGTTTATCCAGCTCGTTTGTATTGCCGGATAGTTCGTAACGTCCGCTCAATGCCGGGGCTTCTCCACTGGCTGCGGGCGCGCGCAGGCACCACGCCGTGCGCTATCCTCGCCGTGATCGTCACAAAAGACTCGTTGGCGAATGAACGTTTCAAGTGTATTATACTCGTGGACTCCTCCTTTCATTGCACTCGATCAAGCGTGACCTCAGCCGTCAATTGGAGCGTTCTACCGCCGCAATCTGCGACCTGGTCTCGGATCGGCGAGAAAGAGCGCGCGCGTTTATCCAATATCTATGATTATCATTCACAGCCGATCTGTGCTTTTTAACTCTTCCCGACTCATCCTCCGAACCCAGAGAAACAGCGCACAGTTTCATATACGTTCTTCAAACGTAGAAGATTATGATATTCTTGCTTATGCGTGAGAATATCTATTCTTGATTCAAGATACATTATTTTTCATGTATGTAATACGATCATGAAGCGTTACGTATACTGAAAAAAAGAATTGCTACGTTCAAGTATTTGTTATAAGGAATATTCGAGTAATTTATTTTATTTGTTAAATAAGTATTACTTGAATGTAGCACGTTGGAAGATAAAAAGTGCTGCATTCAAGTAATATTTACTTAATCCGAATCAATAAACTACTTCAATACTCCTTAGTAAAGATTTATTTGGACGTACTAATTTTTTTCAGTGTACGCTTAAAGAACTTATGTGAAACTAGGATGCGCTATCTGGGATTGAACTTTCGGAGTTTCGTCTAACTGAAGATAAATCGTTAAACGCTCCAGCGAGCTCCATAAAAATTACAAGACCCTACGAAAATTATTGAGAGCTGTTGAGATGTGTGCCCACACAACACGTATGTCTAAGAGAGTACGTCTTTGCGACGTCTTAGGACGTCTTAATGTCATTTGGATATTAATAGTTGATGGTACACTGAGAGAGAGAGAAAGAGAAAGAGAGAGAGAGAGAGAGATGGTTAACGTCTCCCGAATTATATAGTTAACTTCGGCATCGCCTGTATTTTCCTGTTGCTCTAACAAACAAAAGTAGCAGTAGCAATATGCGTATATAAGGTTGTTTATCGCTGACACACTCAATACATAAATGGTACATAGTAGTAACACTTACTATATAAACGGTTCGCCGGGCTATAATTCCCTCGCTATGCAATTACAGTTATAAATACCGAACACTTTCGTCCTCAGTGCAGAATTCGTAAGAGGAAACCTCAGAGTTACCGTCTCCGTCGAGAAACGTTTCAGCCCGTGCGCTCCGTGCGTATCGAGCGAACGGGACATCTCGCAAGATACGCCGATTAAATCGCCGATGAGTCCTTTATTTTCATCGACACATCGTACACACGACTCCGCGCGATTACGGCGCGCGGACGGTAATATGAGAGTGTAAAATGGCGTAAACGTAAAAATCTCAACACATTCGGCGACGTAGTATCTTGAGCATTTTGTCTTTGGTCTTCTTCTCGCGTCTGCGACATTCCCTCCCTGCGACGACTCATTAGAACAGATAGTAAGTCTGAAACAGTGGCGATCGATCGGACGATTGAGAGACGGAACGGCGATGATGTAATGGGGGATAATTCGTTTGCCCGTGATCGGGCGAAAACGTGATTGCGAATTACTCACCCTCGGGGATAGCTCCGCGTAGCACTTGTTGAACGTGTACGCGTACTCGCAGTTGTCGCCCTTCGCTGCGAACGAGGAAATCATTCGGCGATTATTAGCGAGCGCCTGGAGCGCAAGGCGAGACGACGGATCGTGTGTTATCGAAATCAAAGTCGAACGACAACTCAAGTGAAACTCCGGAGAACTCGGGAACGAAAATCTCGAAATGAAAGGCCAACGGGAGGTTGGAAGGTTTTCAAACCTGGGGAGAAACTCGCGATGCTCACAATGGCCGATATCGACAGTCTCAATGCTGTTTTCTCGTCTTTTGATATCTTCCGGTCTTCTCAGTGTAAAGATGTATTGATATAAGTAAATATGTTATTAAGAATCGTCGAATATTCTTTTATTTTTTAAATATTTTTCTGTATAAACTATAATAATCAATATTGGATGAGCACATTGATAAAGATATAAATAAGGGCGTATCGGAAAAGTAACTTGGCTTGACAGGCCCAGTTTTGTGCCAAACTAAACAGCACAAAATATATGCGCCAATGAAGAATTAATTACCGACAAGAGCGATGCTAATTCGAGAAATATACAAACTTTGTGAGCAGTCTTTGTGAGGGGATATTTCAATCCAAACGGGCTCTATTTCTTCGATCTCTTCGCGTTCAGATTCACATCGCCGACGACACCCTTCTATTTGTCGAACTGTCGATCCGTTTCTCATCAGTTTCGAGCCCTTCCGCCTCTCCTTGGCGAAGTAACGTTCAAACAAATCATCGAGAAACTAACTTCGGAAACTCAACCCGCTTTTAGGAAAAGAGGAAAGGAAGAAAAAGAAGAATCACTTGTGGCGCGATTACTGAAGTTTCGAGCACACGCAATCGATCGACGGAATGAACAAAAAAGAGAACGAAGCGGATACCCAAATAGTTACCGATCCCCTTGCACTCGCTGATTGCCTTCTCGACCTCAGCCCTGTAGGCGGGTATTCTCTGGAAGAACGTCAGCATACCGTTCAGACTTAGCTCTCTCTTGTCGTCGACCAGACCGAATTGTTCCCAGAGACAATACATATAGCACTAAAAAGAAAACAATCCAAATCTGAAGTATAGTTCTCAGTCTCTTTCTCTCTCCTCCCGCTCGTTCTGTAATCTCTCGCGAGAACGTCGTCAGAGACGTTAGGTCTTTAGGAGGACGACTGACTTGTACGACTGACTTTTAAGACAATGTTTCATACCACTAAATCCTTGTCTAAATAATCAATTTTTATTTTGTTATTATTATACAGCAATTTGTCATCACAAATAGAACGGCTCCGGACACAAAACAGTTGTGCGTTACTTGAGTACAAAATATCTCAAGGCGCAAAACGTCGTCCTGACAAGTCAGCCATTCGGCTGAGACCAGCTCACGGAACAAGCGTGCTTCGGCTGAATCTCGCATGCATTTTCGCATTTCTCAGACCACCGGCGGTTGTATAATACCGGGATAACGATTTGTTTGTAGCAAGACGTAATTGGCAATTCAAGCGGCTCGCGCATTGCTACTCACCTTCAATTGACGTGTTTCCGGCCATTGACCGTTTCTTACCGCTTCTATGTCGGCTGAAAGAAAGATTCAGTACACTCGTCGACGTGCTTTGCACGANACCCCCCCCCCCCCGGGGTTTCCCTCGAACACGCAGATCCCACCGTAGATAAGTGATAACGAGATAAGCGAAGCTGCGGCCGTGTCCGTTGTTTTCATTTAATTAATTGATTGTTATTAATGTTCAATTAATTGTTCTTATTGTTTTTCTCTTCGTTCCGTTCGAGAATAAAAGCGAATTGTCTCGGTTAATTTAATCTTCCAAACGCACGATCGATCGTCGTGTTCGAGCATCGGCCGTATGCGCACGGTACAGTTGCATGCGCACAGTCGTGTAATTAAATAAAACTTCAATCAATAATTTCCCATCTCCGGGACTTTCTCTCTCCCTCTCTCTCTCTCTCTCTCTGTTACGGGGGGTGAATAAACTCCGCGGGCGAGCGCGAAATACCTGTGGCTACTCCCGTTTGCGTTTGGCAGGCGTTCACGACGCTGGCCGCGGTCGCGATCATCTGGTCGGAAACGAAGCTGGGTCGCGTCTGCGAAATAGACGAGATCGGTGTTATTGACATTAATAGATGGCAATCGCGGGGGACGAGAGTGCTCTCGAGGAAGCTGCCGCGATGCGTCTTCCCATCTGAAGTACATCTCACGGCCGAAATGCAATTCACGATGTCAACCATCGGAAAGTGTAAGACGACGTTGAAAAAGTTGCGAAGCTCTGAGATGAGGCTCTTATGAGAATTTGATAAATTCGCGCTACGTATACGTTGGAATATTATCTGACTGCTCGTGCAATTAGGAAAAAATTGGCTCTCCGGGAGCTGAGATATTTGCGAAGTTGACATTTTTTGACACGTGTTTCTTGAGAAATTAATGCGTTATCTTTGTTTTTTAATATCTCCTAAACTAAAAATAAGATTTTGACGAAAACCTATTATGATATTAAAGACTAATATATAGATATTATATGTAAATTTTGAAATTTCATTAACTATTTTATTTTGAAAATATATGATGTAAAACTCGTAATTTATAGTAATATTTGGAATACATGTATAAATATTTCAACATATATATCTCTTTCTATGCATATCTATTAGATTAACTGATGTACAAATAAAACATTAATAATAAAAACAAAAAATAATAATATTTTCGTATTTGTAATATTTTGTATACACACATATGTTTACCTCAACTTCGTTTCAAATTAACATTTATAATTTAGGTATTGAGATGAATGTATGGAAACATAATTGTGCTTGATAAATATCAAATTTACGAACAACCCCCTTGAGGCGCCATTGAAAATACGAGCCTCACAGCCTCCTTGATTTTCCAAGTCCCTAATTTGAAATACGTGGTGGCACGTGAGATTTGAATTCTCGGTGTTCCGTTTTCACGCTGAATAAAACAGATACGTTGCAATCAAGATTGCGGAGAAACGTCGGAAGAAAACATCGCGCGCTTTATCGAGCGCGAGATCCATCCCCGGTTGGCCGGGGCTCGGGAAAAACAACCCCTTTTCGCGCCCATCCACCGACACGCGCCCGTAGCATGAGCTTCGGACCCCGAGAGACGCGATCGGACTTAACTTTTCAATCGTGAATGAACTACGTGTAAGATCGAGGAAAAGTTATCCAGAATTGAAAATAAGTAATAATTTTGAAAAAAAATGTCATAAGCCGAAAAACGAATTTATCACCACCGACTTCTCCGTGTACTTTCTAACCGAACAGATTCTGTAACCGACACTTATAATCGGATCTTATATTTAAGACCGTTTTAAGTTTATTTTTTGAATTTGTAGCTAATGAAATGAGCCGTACAAAATCTGAAGATGAACTTAAAACAATCTTGATCCGTGCTGCCGATTTTCAGTAGCGATATTAAGGGCACCCTTCAAAAGTTTATTATTTACTGAAAAAATACTCCCCCATAACTTTATTTATTTAACTAAATAATAAGTATGAATTTTGAGCGAAATTGAGATAAATATGTACACAACATTACAAATACATTTTCCTTATTAATGCTTTATTTACACGTCGACTGAGCCAATAGGGGTGCACTCATAATAGAAAATGGTGTATAAATATTCAGATACGTATACATGCGCATACTTATTACGCGAGAACACATCTCTCTCTCCCGCTACGATTAATCAGAGCCCCTTGATCGGATCAGAGGTCACCGCCCCGTTTGACACGTACCCCGCAGGAGACGATCCACGCCTGCAGGAGGAAACCCACGGCGACCGCGAGAAGCCTCATCCTGGTGATTTTCTCGTGCCTCTCGTCCTTTTATATCCTGATTCCTTCGAGCGTGGCGGTGTCCCTTGGCCGACAAAAGCTTTTCCGGCGCTTGGACCGACGTGTGGAGTGCACGTCGAGCGCGAGGCGAGGGTGCGACTGAACGTCGGAGACGAGAGAGAGAGGCGGCGCGGGTGGCCGGCCGGCCCCGCACGGTCGGTCGGGAGTCGGGACACGGGATGAGGCGGTATGGGGTCCAGGGGGCCGAGGGAGAGACAGAGGTGGAAGCTGCGAGCCCTGCCGCGCGCGCCCTGCAAGCTGGTTCGAGAGCAGGTCGCGCGCGAGCTGCTCTCTCTCTCTCTCTCTCATCCGCTCTTTCCCTCTCCCTCTCTCTCTATCTTCCTCTCTCTTTCGCTCTCTCATACGCCGCCCTTGCGCTATTTCCTATGCAAGCTGTTCGATAATAGGCGCGCCTACTCCGGACGAAAATTTTAATTGGACGTTTCGCGGATTTCGCGAGGGAAGCTTCTAGCAAATTCGCAGACGAGGTGGAAGAGAAAATCAAGATGACGTCGAAATGGCGAGAAAATGACTACGAAGGCTCACTTTTCGATCATTTTGACAACATTCTGACGTCATTTGTTTAATCATAGTAATTTTCTGGAGACACGTTTCTCTGGGCACAAGTCGAGGAGTTCTTCTCTCGACGGGCTTGATGTTGCGTATCGCTCCGTGACAATGCGATCGAAACGTCCTACATCGCATAATACCGGCGCGGTATAGCGCGCTCTTTTCATCGCGCAAAGATAAATTACCGTCTCCTCGGCGTAGGAGCTTTCGATTCTAGGCCAGGTCGCACACATAGACAGGCGGATTTGATTGGCGGATGTTACCAGTTTACGATCCGACCCTACGTAATCTCTCCTTTATCCTACACGACGTCGACACAGATGCGAGACTCCTGTGTCTCGCCTTCCGTGCGCCTCCTCCTCGTCTTCGCGCGCAGCTTCGACTTTTTCGCAAAGTCCACCGCGCGAGGAATACTCGCGCGTCGAATTAAAAACGCGCGTGAAATCGCCCGCCGTGGAAGAAATATTGTCGCGGAGAAACCGCGGTCTTACATTCATGCCCCGTCGAGAGGCGCAATGTTGTTCTATCGTCGTCAGAGAATATCGGCAGAATTGTCTTTACACACAAAGAAAAAGGAAAAAAGGATTTATTTTTAGATTTAGTATACGTATTTGTTTTGTTCGACTCGGGTTTGTTTAACGTAAACAACATAATTTAATATCAAACATGATTTCGTTCGAATAAATGTTTCATTACAGTGAATCGTGTTGTTTGATAGAAAGATAGTATTATTTAGGGGAAATACTTCGTTTTTAATTAAAAAAATTTATTTCATTATATATTAAATATTGTTCCACTGAAATAAAGAGATTCTTTGGTATTTTTCTAACATAATTTCGAACGTCGTCGTCACTCTCCGTTCTACCTGGGGCGCATCGCGAAGCTCAGTCTCTTCCCTCCGCATCGACGAGCGATCTTCTCGACGCCGCCTTTCTCCGAGAGAGTCGCGCGCCTTGCACCAAAGCCGCGGCAAAAGCTGAGACGCTGAGCGCGAGATCGCGTTTCCAATGTCCTCACAGCCGAGGCTTTCGCGAATATCTCTCGCCTCGGCGTTCGCCTCAAATCAAATCCGCGTGAATGCGAGCCGTAAAAATACCCGAGACCGGGCGCGTTTTCTTCACGTGACGCGCGCGCGCGCGCGCGCGGCGCTCACGCAAAGGTGCAGCCGACACGTGGGTCACGCGGGGGGCGCGTTTTGTGGGTCAATACAATTCCGGCGAAGGTGCGCGAGCGAGCCCGAGCGGGGCCCGAGGAGCCCGGGTACAGTCGCCTGTGGAATTATTGACCAACGCGCGCTCCTCTCGACGCGTCGGCCGTCGGCCTTCCGCGACAATCCGGGCCCACCCGCGCTCGCAAATAAACCGTACATCGACGAGCGAGAGATACAATTCGGAGATTTTGACGAAGGGGAAAAAAAAAGAAAGCGACCTCGCTCCCGGAGACGTAACCCTTCTACCGACTGTACTTTTCCCGCGCGTACAGTCCGCGGAACAAGTATTGACTGCTCGGATCCGAACAAGTATTGACTGTCGACGTCGCGAGCGGCCTCCCGGGTGCTCGACGCGGTCGAAGGGTAGCCCCGGACTGGCAATCCCGAGCGTGCCCGTCGCCCTGAGACCGGCCGAAAGTCGAGAGAGGTCCAATTGGAGGTGACGGACGTCTCATTTACATCGATTATCGTCGACTGTACCGACAACGGCGCGGTACAGTCCGCCGGACTCTAATTGACAACGTGCTCGGTGTCTCTCCGCAGCGGAGGCTCGCGAGAGATTACCAAGAGGACCGGGGATTTTCGCGGGTGCGGCTCGGCGACGCGTTCGTTTTTCTCGCCGGAATGCCGACGTCGCGGCGTCGTTAGCGTCGCGATCGCGACGGCGGGACCGAGTCGGACGGGGACAAAAGAATCTCGACGGACTGTACTCGGCGGCGGTTGTATTGACCGCGACGCGTGTTCCTCGGGGTTTCTCTCGAGCGAGCCGGAGCGAGAGGCGCGTCGGCTCTCGGCGAGGAGGAGCGTCGCAACGTGTCGGCGAGCGTGGTGCACGAGTGCGACGAGCGAGGCAACGAGGTCGGCTGCGTGATAACCGTGAAAACCGGCCGCCGATGCCTCGACGGTGATCGGCGAGCCGCCGCTCCGGCGACGCTCAGTGTCCGCGATGTCGACGGCCAGGAAGCGACGACGTTCGCGGCCGAATTGATCGTTGGAACTCCACACGTGGACGACGATCTCCTACGGGACCTGCCGCTCTCGTGAGGACGCCGGCGAGTGACCGAGCGCCGCCGTCCGAGTTTCGAATAAAAAAAAAAAACGTTCCAGCCCGACTGAGGGGCGACGATCGCCGCCTCGGTCGGGCCTCGCCGTCACGTGGTCCGCGTTCTTTCGCGTACGTCATTCGTCGCGTGCGATTTAAATCGCCGCTGAGAGACCCGCGCGCCCCGGCACCGTGACAAAATGGGCAAGACGCGGGGCGTGCACGAGACCACCCCGGAACTGAGGAACCGGATGGTGGGAATGTACGAGGCGGGCCTGGGCCTTAGGGAGATCGCCGCCGCCGTCAATTGCTCGGTAAGCAAACCCCGGAAAAGTAAAGTAACCACACGGCCATGCTGGAGATACGTCTGCTACCGGTTTAGTGTGTTATCTTCCCGACGGCTGAACTCTGCTTATCACCGCATGGTCAAATTATTCTACCTTCTGAAAGGTGTGAAATTTTACTTTTGGAATTTTAAGTGCAAGTATATCTTGGCGCTTACGCGCTTCATTGATTCTCTGCAATCGCTGTCCTCAAGATTGTGAAAGATCTGAGATGCTCATCTGTTAATAACTCATTTATATATATACATATATACATACATACATACATATATACATACATATATATATATAACAGAGAATATAGAAAAAAATATAGAAGAATGTAACAGAGAATATAGAAGGAGAGAATGCAACATACATGATATAACGTTATAAAAAATATATATAACATATCATATGAAGCTGACTTTAGAAACGCGCGATCTGATAAAATCACAGTACTCGCTGGTGACATTGTAACTCTTTCAGCAACGCACGGTGAAAAGATGGCTAAACAGATTCGACAAGGAAGGCACCGTGGAGACACGGGAGCGCTGTGGCCGCAAAAGGGCCACCACCGTGGAGCAGGATGAGGCGATTATCCGTCTCGCCACTCAAACACCCATAACAGCGGCCAAGGCGGTGCTTCCTGCACTGGGTCTCACCTGCTCGGTAGACACCGTGAGGGAGAGGCTGCACAAAGCCGGGATCCACAACTGGAGCCCTTCACGCAAATACATGCAGAGGATTCCGCTGGGGTTGGTACACTTAACCGAGACATTACACATTTTTGTAAACTTCCTACCTCAAATTTCAACTTCTTCGTTCTTTTTTTCTAAACCTTTACAAGTATAAACCTTTAACGTCCCGTCTGCTTGCTCGTCTGCCCCTCTAGCAGCGATGCGGACGGCGCAGCGATCCAGCAAGCGGTTTGGCGCCCGACCGGCACCCAGCTGGGCAAAAAGAAGACCCCGAAGGACTCGAACAAGCCGGAGAAGAACGGTGGCACGACTAAGAAAAAGAATCCGCCGAAGAAAATTCGAGCTCGAGATCTGTACGTTGACGACGGCGCTCCGGCTGACAGTCTCAAGTCTAACCAAGTCGCTGAACAGCAGCAGCAGCAACAGCAACAACAGGGCTTCGTGTTTCCCCAGCAGAACCTCCCTCCACCTCCTCCCGCTCCTCAGGCTGAAATGCAACCGCCCACGCAGCCTCTGCCCACGAGCCAGACGGAGTTCGGCAACGCGTTGAGCTTGGCGCAGCAACCACAACCTATGTATCAACATCCGGGGTTAAATATCGTGCAGAACTGGCCGTTGGACCTGGTGCAAGGCAGCCATCATTATCCACAGGTTTGGTTATACACGTAATGGTAAATTACAGACATCGCACATAAAAATTGCCGTAATCGTGAAACATAAATTCCGAAGAACCAATCAGGATGTCGCTTTACATTTGCGTGCTCTAGAAGAAGGTAGAACTGACGATAAATCTGATCGTAAACAGAAGAACCTAGGAATTAGGACTGGTTAAAATCCTAGTCCGGTATGAATCTAAAGGCTCTGCTCTTTTTCGTTGCTGCACACAGCAAGATAGAATTTAAAATTCAAGCGCAACCAGTAGTAGAACATATTCCATGTAATACAAACTACATTACCTTGCGCCGCAGGGGCAACCGAATCCGATACCTCACGAGCAGCCGCCGCCGCAGCAGCAGCTGCAGGAGCTGCACACTCAGCAGGAGCAGCAGCAACAGCAGCAACAGCATCATGCACAGCAAGTGGTCCAGCAGCACGTGCAGGTGCAGTCGCGGCTGCAGAGTCAGCCGCATCAGCAGAGCGCTCAGTCGCACCATCACAGTCTCGAGCAACCGCGGCTGCAGCCGGTGGAGCATCCGGTGCAGCAGCAGCAGCCGCACTTGCAGTCCGACGTACCTAGTCCGGAGGCGAACGCGGGATCGGAGAGCTCCAACACTTGCAGCTCCAACGAGAACAGCCAATCGTCCTGCGAGGCGCAGCAGCGGAGCAAGGTGTCGTCGAGGAAGAACAAGTCCGAGACGGAACGGCAGAAGAAGAAGAAGAAAGGCGGCAAGGTGAAGGGGACGCTGGAAACAAGCGTGGAGATCAGGAATCGCATGATCGGCATGTCCGAGGCCGGATTGTCGACCCTGTCCATCGCGCTGGCGATCGATAGATCGGTACGTAAAAAAAAAAAACGACGCTGCACCGCTACGTCGAATTTTATGCATGATTATAATATACGGGGCGCAGCGCGCCGACGTGCGATGATGATGATGATGTGTGTGTGTGTGTGTGTGTGTGTGATGAATTACGAAGCACGAGAGAAAGTCGTCGCAAGAGAAGACTTACATGGACGTGATTTCAAATTAATCAGGAACGTACTGTTAAAAGATGGCTAGAGCGTTGGCATAAGGAAGGCAATGTACAGACGAAGGAGCGGAAAGGCCGACGTCGAATCACCACCAAGGAACAGGATGAGGCGATCGTCGCGATGGCGACGCAGCATCCTCTCACTGCGGCGAAATACGTAGCGCCCGCGTTGGGCCTGAAGTGCAGCGTGGATACGATTAGAGAGAGGCTGCACAAGGCCGGGATACACAGCTGGAAGTTGGGCAAGAAGCAAGGGTTAGACGAATATTGTCATATATGCACCGTTTAACGAACGCGAGGCATCACTTGAAATTCTTGTCGAGAATTCCCTCCTTTGTCGAGTTGCACAAGCTCGTCGAGGGATCGGTCGTTAACGTTCAAATCCATTTCTACCGCCAAAACGTCACCTTTAACACAAACGAGATGTGATATGATTAATAAGATGCTCGCATTTTAGGGAAGGAAACGCCGTTCACACCGTTCACCTATGGCAGCCGAGCGGAAATCGGCCCAACAAGCCGAAGATGCCCGGGGAGAAGAAGAAGAAGGGCGCTGGCGGCAAGAAGCGCGATCAGACGACGAACGGCAGTCAGAAACAACGTCTCGCGCGGAAAAAGAAGAGCGAAAGCTCGATAACGCTGAAGACGACTCCGCCTCCGGCGAACATGCTGCCGGAGCAACCTGCGTTGTCGTTCCATAATCCTGGAACCAGTAAGCGTTATAGAGAGCGACGATATCGTACATGTATCTTTTTCAGAATTGGGTAGTAATTAGTTGATCAGTTAAAAGTTTCAGTTAGAAAGTTAACATTTAATTTAATTTTAAGCGAATTAACTTTTAACTATTTTTATTTAAACTTTTAAACTATTTACTTAAAATACGGTAACTTTGACTTATTAATTTTTTTTGTGTAAGTTAAAATAGTTCATCAAACATTAAAATCATCGCGAGCTCCGCTTACAATAGAGAATTAGGAAAATCAAGAGTAATGTCAGCAGAATTTTCTCGCCTTTCTGAGCCAAAGCTGGTGCTCCTTTTTTTTTGTGTAGAATTCTATGCATAAAACGATCGATATCTTCTTACATTTTAATATACCGTCCTTTTATTATTTCACATTAATTTATGATAAAAGAAGTTATTTATGCAAAAATTACACGTACATGGTTTTGCATAATTAACTTTCATCTTAATTTGCAATTAGGTAAAAACAAAATTAAACTTATCCGATCTCTTTTCATACACGTGCTACCTCAGAAGAAACTAATTAGAAATCACTCCTCAGTGACGGTTTATACTTCCGGGCCGAACATAATGCAACCGGTGCACAACATCGGCGCACCGCAACCTACACTGCCCCAACCGCAAGCACCTCCGCCGCCACCGGTGCCGCAGCAGTCGATGCAGCCGATGGGCCCGATGATGCAGCAGAGGCCGGACTGCAGACTGGCGCCGACCATAGCCCCGCCGGTGTCCGGCCCCGGCAACTCCGGCGTCGCATATCCATCGTGCATGGTCGGGAATAGCGGCCACACCGGCCACATGGAGCAGACGGACCCGTTGAACTACGAGCCGTACATCTGGAGCTTCTAAGAATGTCGTCGGGGCAGCGTATCACGTTGCGTAAAGCGAAGCAATTTTATATCACGATTCCTCGTGTGATCTAACTTACACGTAAATGGCAATATTAGAAGATAACTCTGTACATGTGCAAAGAGAAACTCTCGATGACTCTCTAACTAGTTAGGGTTTGAGAAACGTTTGTGCTAACTTCTAATGACTTCTACGGTCACGCGATGGCGCAGCATTTAATTGTGATTTGCTGTAATTGGTTAGACCACGGCATGTAAATAGAGAATCGTAGAGTAGTGAAGACGTACATCACGTTTATTTTGCTATGATATATCGTCTCTTTGAATGATATGGAGTCGTACTTTGGAATCGTATTGTATATTGAAAATTGATTTTTATACGGCACGGTCGGACTTCATTAAATTAAGAGATCTCTAGCGTTTATGTTGTAAATATATAATTTCTAATGGCCGAGAAGGGGAGGGAGAGAGAGAGAGAGAGAATGAAAAACCAAGCAAAATCAGAATATCAAATGAATTCAGTAGAAATCGCGGGTTTCTGCTGTCAACCACTCTTTATTGATGATTGTGTAGGATAGAGAAAAAGAGTGAGAGAAAGAGAGAGAAAGAGAGAGAAAGAGAGAGAGAGAGAGAGAGAGAGAGAGCCCAAGGATCTTCTTAGTGAATTCAGCGATAGATCTATTTTCAATATACACAGGCACTATTCGACGACTTTTCGTGGGCGTACTCATGAAAATATTTGCGAATACAATGTGTGTGTGTGTGTGGGTATATTCTACGATATATTTAATTATATTATATGAATCTGCTTTGAAACACCATAGTACAAATTGGCATGTTCCGGTTAGAAAAAATGTGTAGCAAGTAAATCAACTTCAAACAGGCTGCCAAAGTAGTTACATCTAGTATGGGAGAGAGCTGCCTTTTTCTACCATACTCTCATATATATATATAAAATTTTCTTAAATTAATGCAGCGTTGACGTTACTATTACATAAGACTGTTACTGTTTTATATACACCGTATTTTCTGACTGTAGTGTCCGGCTGAAGATTGATATTTACATCGGGTGAATTATTTTCTGTTGTAACAATTAGACGGTCCTTTCGTTCTAACAAAGCAGTATTCATATAGCTCGTCCATATACAATTTCCGGTGGTACAAATGCAAAATAGCGCACTAGTTACGGGAAGAAGATGAGGCATATAGGGAAATTTCCGTCGGGTCCTACGAATGTCCGCTCTCATTTCGCATTAATATCCTTGTAATTTCGTAACACGTGACAATTATATCATATAATTAACGAAGATTTATCTCCGATCATAATCGTTTATCCAAGTGTTCATCCTGTTTTGTATTTGCGCGAGTAAAGTGAAGAGATAACGATTACTCACTCTGTACTGTATAGATTGGTCTCCTCTTTCAGAATAATAAAGTATCTTTATATAAAACACAAGGAATTATCTCTCGGTCTCACTTGCACGGCCACTAACGTTGACGCGAATAGCTCCGGTCTCGAGCTATTCCTCGAATTGTACTTTTCATCACGTGAGCTCCCAGATTTGCGCGACGTTGTTTATCACCGCGTTGGGATTGTTCTTATGGAACATGAAGTATCCTTGAATTTGCGCAGGACTGACGTTTTTCTTGTAGGATATAACGTTGTCCGCGAACCTGCTCGCAAGCGCATCAGGATCCTTGCCCGGCTCCCGGTAGAACCTCAGGAACATTTGCTCAACCTGATTCGCACTGCACCATCCTGAAAGAAAAAATAACGAAATAGCATCGAGATAATTAGTTTCTCAGGTATCGTTTTTTTTTTCAATCTCTGCTTTCATCTCTGTTGCAAAATTCTGTATATTCACGTACCGATGTGCTCTTTGACATCGACCCTGCCCGGCCTGACGAGCGCAGGATCTAATCTCTCCAAATAATTAGTCGTCATAAATAATATCCTGGCTTCTGCGGATGCTACGCCGTCCAGGCAGTTCAATAAGCCGCTAAACGTTACTCTGTTCAAGCCTTCATACGCCGCCTTGGCTGAAATTAAAACAATTACACAAGTTGAAGTAGCAGGAATAATTCGTCGTTTCATCGATCCACATACGTTCCATTTATGAGAGAATTTCCTACCTTGCTTGGATTCCTCCCTGCTGGTGAAAGCAGCGTCGATATCCTCGAGCAGGATAATAGTCTGCTGCGGAGCTACTGCCAACAGGTGATTCAGTCTGTCGTCCGTCAGACCTCTCTCGGATAAATTCAAAACGCAAATGCCGCGCTCCAGTTCTCCGGCCAGCGCGGTTATGTACGACGACTTCCCACATCCCGGTGGCCCGTACAACAAATAGCCTCGGCGATATGGGATTCCTAAAAACGTAATACGATATAGCTCCCCTCTTATTGACCAGGAAGCTAATTGCAAATTTTGCGATCAGAATCGAGAAATGCGGATTTAGATTATCGACGTGACACCTCTTTCGCTGTACCACGACGGATTATTGATGAATTCCCGACAGTCGTTGATTATTCTCTCGGAGATGCCAGTGTCCAGAACGACCGACTCCAACGGCCTTCTCTTCTTAGGATGCCCGAATTGCCGCCATTCGCTTCCCATGGCAGTGTACATTATAGTCTTCCCCTCGTGCTCCTTCAGTGCCATTTGTCTGGCTATGAATAAAGAATTTCCTCTGTGACTCCACGACATTACGTGATATGCTCATGAGTATCTGCGGTACCAACTCAACCTTCTTCGAGGATGTTGAAATATATGCTCCTGTCTTTGCCAAAGGCTGTCAACTGCACAGTCTCCCATGGTATGCCCATGTGTAGGTCCAAAGTCTGCTGTTCCCTTGTTCTGTCAACTTTTATCCAATTCCCCTTATACCTGTAGAAATAAAGAGCGATGTTAGCGGAAGATTAATAAAAGAAGCTTCAACTGGTGCCGAGTGTAACAGAGATTGATATGTTCCATATAAAATTCTAATGAAGAGAATATTTCAGGAGACCTGGCAATAGCCTGACCTGAAGAAATGAGTTCCTATACTGGGAATGAAGTCGTATTTGGTTTTTACATGACCGGTCTCTTTCTGTTCGAAGCTGGTCTCCACAGAGAGATGTTGCGTCTTGCGAGCACCTTTGTGTGTAATCCACTGCAGAAGCCATTGATAGCTCTTGTCACGGCACGGCACTTCCAGAGTGATCATGTAATGCCGTCTGGAAGTATAAACGGATAGTATTGATATCTTACTAAACAAGTGGATATAGCATGCATTTATTTGAAACAATTACCTGAATAATACTGTTCCAACTTGCGCGCTTTTCCTCAACAAAGCAGCGGCGGCTCCGAGACCAAAAAGGCCAAAGCCAGCACCGAAGTATGGATTATCTGATAGAGCTTGTACATAATCAACGATTGTCATGATGCAAATTGATATTGCACAGTGTTGTAAATAATAACATGAAAGTTCAATACGTATCAGGGAGCGATTAATATTAATTATTTCGTTCAGCAATTTGCCCGTTAAATCTTGCAATTGTAATGACCATTATATCAGTTATATAAATCGTAGTAAAGTGGTCCAATTGCAGTAACAATAATCAGAGGTTATGTGCGTCAATAACGTCAATAGCGTATGCCACTTAATAAGGCGAATATACTAATATTTAGTAATAATCGCATAAACGTACTTCACAAAAATTATCTACGAACTATTCTTCCAAAGTTTCATAAAGTGTCTCTACGTGATCGCTCTGTTAAATGGTAAAAAAACTTTTTATCGAGCAACTTGCGTTTGAATATCACGGAACACTTTACCGATGACATTTCCATGCCGACGCAATCGATAATACAGAACTTCTGCAATACCTTTTAGTCAAGACGCGAACCTGAATCGGTTCGATCCTTTGCTGAGCACAGAAAAATCAACAATGTAACATTTCTCGCATATATAGCGCATCTCGGCAAAAACAAATCTTTTCTCAGATTATGGAAATTAATTGTGATAAATTACATTAAAATAAATGAAAGATGGACGGGCATATTTGTACAATAATAATGATTAACGAACACGGAGAAGATTGATTTGCAGTCGCTGTCCTGTTACAAATGATTATATTTCGTTTTATGTTACAAAAAGAATCTTTACTACGTATAGTGTACCATCGGTTTAATAACGTCAACGCCAGGTACCACGAATGTGGCTTGAATACGCACCTTGTCTTCACTTCCTCTCATCTTTTTTTGCCTTTTTTGCGATTCTTTTTTTAAATATTTCCTTCCAAATAATATATCACTGACTGAACATCTACTTAACTGCCTACGTCCGATCTAATTTAACACGACTGGCTGCGCGCCACCGCTCCGATCAATCAATTCTCAATAAACGTAGAAGAATCACGAGGTTTTGCTACGAACGGCGGCTAGTTTCGGGATTTCTTTCTTTTCCTTTCCTCTCTCTCACTCTCTTCGCTACATTAACGATTAATGATCTATACGGCTACGGAGAAAATATAATACGCTCGTTGACGTTTGTTTAATATATATAATATATATAAATTGTTTAATATATATATATATATATATAACAAACAATATATATATATATATATGCACGTTATAAATCGTTCGCTAATCTCCGCGATGTAATTGGTACGTTTTACATAATGTATGTATAATGCCGTAACGCTAGAAGTGCATTTACAATATGTACAATTTTCTGGGTCCATGCTCGAGCACGAGGCAAAGCCAAGTCGTCGAATCTCGCTTTGTGTGTGATAAAGGCTTCCATTTTCTCTTTTCGGCTTTTTTTTCTTTAAATCGGAGAAACAACGCATGAGAGTTACCGAACTCAAAAAAGATCTCGCCAGTAATTCGTCAAGTATCACATCCCTCTATGCTGGTCGTAACTATTATCCAACATCAAATATCGAACAATCTATGTCTACATTAATTAAGGAAATTATCGCGTAGGTTTATGTAAATGTTACAACTACGTAAGGTTACACCTAGATCCAGGAAAAAACTGATCGGGAAACTGACTGGTTTGCGGCTGTCGAGTTACAATTGAGCTACGTGTATTCAGCATTAGAAAATATACCGGATAATACGTAATCAACGCCTGATACCGTTTACGACATCGATATGATACGCTGAAGAATCGACATTGCTCCCGACGAAGTGATTTGATTCAAGGAATGCCCGACAATCGAGACGGCGACCGCGAAGTTGCGTTATTTCGCGAATCTTTTCAAAATAGCTAACACGCTCTCTCTCTCTCTCTCTCTCTTTCTCTCGTATTTCATCGCATGTCTCGTTGAACAGATAATCTTAAGCACCCAATAATATGTTACATCGCCAATTAGAAGCCGCTCGCTCGACGTTGCTAACGTCGAATTCACGCGCGAGTTCGCACAACGACGCTAACACGACGCCGTCTCGATTATCATCGCGTGAAATATGAAAAGAAATAAGAACGTTATTTCTTGACGTGACTCGTGATGACTGAGTGGAAACGACGAAAGTGTAAAAATATCTCGCGTACAAGGTGTGACATGGACCCGGTCGAAGTGCAACACACGCTACGTCGTCGGGACGTCTCGCACGCTCGCGTCGTCACAAATTACATTCAAGTTCTCTCTCTCTCTCTCTCTCTCTCTCTCTCTCCCTCGCTCCTCCGAGTCTTCCTCCTCCTCCTCCTCTTGGCCAAAGTAACTCCTTCAGCACGCGTGTTACGCAGTTTCGATCGATCTCTTAGCCTACGCCGTTTACAACTAATCGACTCGTTACTCGAGTCTCCTCTCTCTCTCTCTCTCTCTCTTTCTCTCTATCTTTTTTCTTTTTTTTTTAACTCCTAGTCTCACGTATTGTGATCTAAACGCACCAACGTCGGAAACGTCACCGGGCGGGACGCAATGAGAGTTTTTGTGGAAGCCTTGAGCAAACCTGCCCGCCGTCCCGATGACCCTCGGGGTTTACCACAATACCCTTCACAACCACGGGCAGATCCCGAATATTATTCCTCTCGAGACTGCTTCTTTCTTTCAGCTCGGTCCCGGGGTCGCTCGGTCTTCTTTCTTTCTCTGTAGCTTGGCGAACATGCTCTAGCTTTCTGAAGCACGTACAACCGACAAGTATAATTCGTAGTACACAGGGACTGAAGGCTCCCCCCCCTGAATTTTCCGAGAAAGACAGTTTTCTCCATAAAAAATATAATTCACATCGGGAGATTCGGTGTGAACAGCTCGGACATCGAGAAACTCGGCCGGTCGAGAAACGATCGGCACGAAGACGCGGGAATCATTGAGCGAGCCTTACGACACGCGAACAGTGAGAATTTCGAGGCGCAGGAGAAGACAGGAGGTTTCTCTCCCGCGGGAGCGTTTCGGGACAACAGTCGGCGAGAGAAATATAGGTGTAAATAGAGAAATTCACGGCGCCGAACTTACGGCTTCTAAACTTCTCGCGAACGCGGAGGAACTTTGTGAAGGACGCTAAATATACGGGAGGAGCCGCGGCCCCTCCGAGAGGACAGAATATTTTTGGCAGAAGTTGTCGAAGCTGTGCGCCTCCGCGACTGGACGACGCGCCGATCCGCGGCGACGACGGGTTTCGGAGGAACTGCGCGCCGTTGTCGAAACGAAAAGCTCACGCTGTGACGAAATTGCACATACAGCTTGTATCACCGCGGCGAAATCATTTTTCACAGTTTCGAAGAATCTGTCACGGAGAATCGTTCGAGCTTTTACTGTTATATATTGGCTGCGTCCGGCGAATACGATACAGGGGTAGTCAAACCTGAAGATCAGATTTTGCGCAGTGTCTGCTGTCAATTTTGTCGGCAGATTGTTAGCAGAAATATGGCAAAATCTGCTCATAGAGTACGATGACAAGTTGACGACAGAAGCGGTCGAGCAGGATCTGTCGTTTCGTCACCATTCAAATATATTTAAATTCGATAACAATTATCAAGACTTGGCTAAAGATTTAGTCTTAATTAAATGGTTTGGTTGCAGTAACCAAAGTTTAATGAAAAAATCTTGGTAATTGTTACCAAATCCTTCTTTCAGCGCACAGAATCTACCACGGTATTTTGATCGAATCTACTGCCAATCTGCCGGCGGCATATTCTGATGGAAAGATTTTATTAAAGCTACAATAAAATTTTATTGAAATGTGTTTGGAATTCTCTCCTAATTGACCCTATTTCATTACAATTCCACCAATATTTCAGTAAAAATTCAGTAAACTTCATGATACTTAATATTTCAAACATTTTTTTATCACTTTTAACAGTATAATTTAACTTTCCTTATATATCATAGTATTACATTAAATTTCATAAGGAAAATTATGATTCATATAGAAATATACTTATTCAGTCATTTTTTCAATAATTTCACTTTTCACCGTACTTTCATGGTACTTTCAGCAAAATATTTCCATCAGAATACTGCTAACATTTTGCTTACTGGGATAGTCGAGTCTTATCGACTTCGGAAAATGGATATGATCGGCAGATCTAAAAATTGTACACCAATATCATAGAGATAATTATTGCTCAACAGTTGTACAACCGTCGTGTTCGCCGAACGCAACCATTGTCGTCGAGCGCCGACAATTACGTGTATCCCTAAATCACAATTATCGGCTGTCGTCGCCGTCGTCGCCACTGTTAATTACAATGAAAATTTGTCCTCCGATTAATCTCCGATAGAGCGGCGTCTCCAATCGCGTCGAGCGGCGCGGACGGCTAGGTAAGAGTCGAGGACGAAGTTTCTCATGAAAAATACGTGAGGATAGTGATCCTTGAGTTAACGGAAGAATCTTTCATTGCCCGGCTCTCCTTCCCGACGGTGGTGCGAAGTGAGAAGGGAAGGGACGGTGGTCTGAGACTGGCTCGGTTTGTGGACACAAATTAGCTCGACCTGTGTCTAAATGCGCGCGAATCTCGCAGAATTCCCCGCTCCATTTTCTTTCTCTCCTCCTGTCGATGGTTGACTTTAGATTAGATCGAATAAAATCTACAGCTCGCGCTATACTGTTCAGAGACGATTGCACCAACGCGCATCGGCGTAATTTGACAATTAAGAACATCTTTTCTCCATCTACATTGAGGCAGAAAATCTGCAAGCAAGATTAGATCCTTGCGACAAATCAATTACAGATTACACGTCGGTGCAAATGGCTCTCGATAAACCGATGATCTCGCTGATCGGTTTGCCATCGTTTTAAACTTGAACAACGCAGCGGAGAGATAAAATTCGATAACGAGAGATGGAACTCGTAAGCGAAACAAAAGGATCGGAGAAAATCGCTTTATTTTAAACGCGAGCAGAATCTCGTGATCGACGGGGGTTTGGATCGTATAAAACGGGAAACAGGATCCCTATTCGCGACACGCGTTGTAGACACAGATGACGCTATAATTACACGATATAGATATAATAATAGCGACAACTGATCAATCAATTTATACATTGATTGATGAACGATCGATAAATTCTCTTTAGATATTCGTCTCAATATGAGCGACGAAGTCGACAGGCAATATTAATAATGATAATAAAAATAGTAATATAATAATAATAATAATAATAATAATAATAATAAAAAGATAATAGCAATAGAGCCATAGTAACAAATTTGATTGTAGACAATCTATGACATGATCAAACTGTGTATATAAGTTCATATGTGCAGGACGCTCTTTTACGTTCAATGCATTTTAAATGTATGCACTTCAACAGTAATAATAAGCGTTAATAATAATAATAGTAATAATAATGAATACATTGATTGGTGAAATAGTGATGTACAATCGGTGCGTGATAATCGTGAAAAGTCGAGCATCGATTACATTCATAATTGCTCCTATTGGAATGACTGCTTTCTGCAATATGACGAGCTATAAGTTATAGATATAAATGTAAAATACTCTGGAGAAACACGTGCACGACGTATGTGCAGAGAACACTAAAGTAAAAGAGCACCCTGCGTAATACGCACGTAATGAGCACATATATCACGTTTACACTTGCACAAAAATACGAGACAACGATAACCGATAAAACCTCCAATAATCATAGTTCTCCTTACTTTTCGTGCGCGGCCTTTTTCAAAAACCAAGATATTCGCGACCTCGCGCGAGGCGCGCGAGGCGCACGAGGCCGGCGGTCGTCACTCTCGAACAAACGTCGTTAAAGTCGAAGTGCTTTGCGATGTGTTTTGCCGATAAAAAGAAAACACGTACACATCTAGATAAATGGTCGTAACAAATGATAAAAGGCTGCGCTAAGAAATAGCTGCATCTCTAATACACTTTTAATTATCATTGCAGTAATTTAACCTAATAAAAACGGTGCATGTGCAAACCTAGCTGCCGCTAGAAGTCAATAAAAGTGATAGTGGACCACTAATAGGCCGCTGCGTTATTAGATTGTGGAGGAAAGAACGAGGTATCCGAGAAGAAAGGATGGTAAAGGATCCTATAGGTACAAAGTCGGACGAGCGAAATGAGGAGCCACGAGGGTCACATCACCGTGTGGATGACATCCGAACGTTCCGGCCCGATTCGAACTCCCCTCGGTGACATAAACAACCGGAGCCCCCCCCCCTCCCCCCACGAAGTTAACAGCGGAATTGCGATAACGAGCACCGATCCCCGACGATAATCGTCCCAAGGCACACAGAAAAAGGTAAGAAGTAAAATTAAAGAAGTAAAATTAAATTTAAGCGGCGAGAAAATTTACCAATTGCAGTCGATTATTCGTCGACTGTGAGAAGAACAATCGACTGCTATTGGTAAATTTTCTTACGTCTTTAAATTTTCTTAAGTCTCACTGCTTATGTTTTCCTGTGTGTCATGGCATTTTAAAACTGAATCTACAGGTGTGGTAAACCTTTTGCTTTAATCTAGGTAGGACGAATATCTAAAAGTTCTCGAAGACGTCCTATTTTATGATATCTTTCAGGCGCTTTAAGAACTCTTTTAGAAAATCGTTCTGCCTGAGACGCGACAAAATGCAACGTAACATCCGAAAGTCGTGATAAAGTTTAAACCTTAGGAATTGCGACGTCTGGTAGCGCTGGAATCGCCCTTTGTTAGAAGAGAGATTTAGCGCTTAGAGCAAAAGATCGAAAACTCACTACACCTATTGTAGACCCAGCCTAAAAGACAGCAAGCGACGCGTGAGACAACCGTTCGTCGGAAAATCGCCGGGCGAAATAAGCGAGCGTGAAGCGCTGATTCGATGCGTCCGGGTGTATCGTTTTTGCGTCGGCGTATTTATAAATTACCGGGGTTGACCTGAGAGAGGCTCTATTTGGAAGATGGGTCCCTACGTCCTGTTACTCGGCTACCGGTACAATAATAAAAGACTCCCCCGAGTCTACTTGTCTTACTACTTGACATTCCGTTCCGCTACTTTGATTATAAACGCTACTGTGTCACGCGCGATATCGATATTGTCTCTATGGTATGCAATGTAAAATTCCTCCTCGTCATTCTAACTACCTACCTACAAACGGTACACGCCCCTTTCGTCGTGCGTTCCCCTTCTCTTTCTCTCCCTCCTCCTTCTCCTCTACAACGTATGTATGAGAAAGCATCCACGCGCGGTCGTTGCGCGCCGCACATCGTCAACGGAATATCCCGCGAAGTCGTGACGGCGAGGAATCGTTATTAGGAAACACGAAGCATTAATAAATTAAGCGTGCGCCAAAGCGATATAGCCTTTGGTGAGAGCCCTCGGCGAGCCCTCGGTGAGCCCTCGACGAGCCCTCGGATCGACCTCCGAACGCAGAGTGTTACCTCTGTACGGTAAAAAAAAAAAAACAAAAATAAAACGAACAGAAAACCGAGAACGGATCGAACAATCGCACGTTATACTTCGCACTCAACGGCATTGCGAAGGACACGGCGCTGACACAATGTGTTGCGCAACTGGAGAACGTAGTAGAATTCGTTAAAAAGTTCTCGCGAGTGGCGAGAGCCCGCGGGAGAGCGGGCTCGTCCCCTCTGAACGAAGTCTTCCTCTTTCTTTGTCCTACACCTCTTCTTTAGATTCCTCTATTAACAATAGTGGTAACACAAGGCAGAGCTCTCCCCGAAGAGACTCTATGATATGGAGCAAAATTCACGGGCATGAAATTCAAACTTCATTTCCGCAGCCTTCGAGAAACGTCTTTTCTTACCCCCCCCCCCTTCCCCCTTCGTTCACCGAGCGCGATTTTCTCTCCCGATTATAATGAGGACGGCGTCATAATTTTCCTTCGTTCTCTCTTCTCTCTTCCTTCTATCTCAATCGCTCAACCGGCCGTCCGTCCGTCCGTCCGTCTCTGTCGCAAAGATACGTCGTCGATATCACGTGCGTATCTACGAGACGAGACGGACGGCGTCAGGCCTGATTCTTAAACGAAGGAGAAGTCAATTGTATACTCACTAGAGTCCCCTAAGCCCACGAGAATCGCGGCAACGAGCAGTAGAAAAATTCGAAAAGTTTCAAAATCCTCGCTTCTCTCAGAATATCTTGCTCCACATCTTCATCATTTTCTAGAAGAAGTCTCTGCCTAAGTGGGGACGGTTCGTCTGTTGCGACAGTCGCGGCCTACCGCGGCCGTTCGCCCCGGCGGCGTGCCGCCTCGTGTTGCGCAGCTCCCGGTCGACCTCCAGCTCCTCCAGCTTCATGGTGAGACCGAGCTTCTGCTGCACTGCCAGACGCAGTAGCTGGTTCAGCGTCTTCCGGTCGTCCTCCGCCACGGCGAGCTGCCGTTGAAGCTCGTCGACTTGCGTCACGTACTCTTCGCAGCGTGCGGCGAACATCGCACGCAGACCTGGAGAGCGGATGGTTAGCGGGGTTTAACACGATGTAGAGATAAGCGAGCGACAAAGTCAAAACGCGCACACCAAGTAGCGTGCCGCATTTCCCCGCGGATGGAGGACCGAGCGGGAAACCAGGCATCGCGATGCGCCGTTGGACACTGTTAAGTCTAATAAATGTACTTGGGCAGCGTGAAGTTATGGCAGAAGTATGGCAGAATGCGCACCAAGCATCCGAAACCAGGTACATCGATGCATCTTATTCCAAAACACGATGATATTCGACTAGTTGCGCTTTAAGGAGATTGTAAGGCGAAGTGAGGTCGACAAGAATTCGATGAAACTTGCATTATGTTGTATACATTGAAGTATCATCTAACTGCTCATGTGGTTAGAAAAAGATCGATTTTTCGAGAGCTGAGATACTTGCAATTAAAGTTGATACTTTTTACACGTATTCCTTGAGATTAGCCTGTGATTTTTAACTTCTATCTTTAATATCTTCTAAATTAAAAATAACATTTTGATGAGAAATATTGTAATATTAAGAAATACTGTGATATGCAGATATAAGCAAGTTTCAGAATTACTGACCATTTTGTTTTGAACACATAGCAGTAAAGTTCATAACTTAAAGCGATACTCGAAATATATATACATATGCACATATTTAAACATTTATATACCATTATTATCTGTTATCTGTGCATTTCTATTAGATTAACTGATGCATAAATACAGCATTATTGAGAAAAAGAAAAAAATAATATTTTCGAGTTTGTAATACTATATATAAACATATATATATATACTTCGCTTTAAATTAACATTTATTATTTAGGTATAGAAACGTAATTTTACTTAATAAGCAAAAATATTAAATTTATGAGTAGCTCTCCTGATACGCCACTAAAAATACAACACTGACCCTTACAACCTCTTTAAAGGTCTATTCAGATAATATAGTCACATAATGCATATGCACAAGGAAATTGACCAATCATGTGTCTAATGTAGAAGATATCCTTATGCCGTACGGATCATGACTGATTGATCTTCTCATGTATATACAATATGAAAGTTTGTCTGGATAGGTCTTAAAAGCGAAATGTCATGTGGATTATTCTTATGCGATGCAATAATTATGGCATAGGACGAGGGCGTTTGAAAAATCGACCGTGGCACCCCAGAGGATTAACAGCAGAGCACTCATAATAGCTGAGAGTGAGAGCATTTTTAATGGCCGAGTTAGTAGGCATGTGTTAGGAGAACAAAACGGAAAAAAACAGAGTTAAATTATTGAATTTCACTGACAAACTGTGAGTCTTATAGAATGATCTTGCAAAACGGAAACGGCTCAACGGAGATTCACGGGGCAACTACGGGCATGGGAGTGGTTTAGTTGTCAAAAATAGCGAGAAAAGTGAGTTTTATTCTTGAAAAAATAAGAAAATAGTGAGTCAACTTTAAAAATAAAAACAATTAAAAAACGAGTCTTTTTCAAGTGATTTATATGTTAAAAATAAAATTGTTTATCTATTATACTATTCCTTTAAAAGACTAAATCACTAGCCTTACAATGAAAACTATCAGTGATGAACAAAATTTGAATTTTGGGAAATAAAAGAAGTTACATGATATGTAAAACCTGAAATTTATTTTCTATATAAAACAACTTAAAAATAAAATCAGTTCTTCACTTTATAAACATTGTGTTGTAGAAATCTCTCATTGTATGTTATTTTCTATTTTCTTTGAATCTTTGTTTTGCTTTTAAAGAAGCTAGAATTATTGAACATTAAATCTTACGATAAATTTTTTTTTTAAAAGGGCTCAAATTTATTAGAAAAAAAAAAGAGAAAAGTGAGGTTTTTCTTAAAAGTGAGAAAAACAGGGTGTTTCTAAATAAGCAAAGAAAAATGAGAAAAGTGAGCCGCTCCCATGCCTGCAACCATCAGCTATTTCAACGTAATCTGTTCTCTTGATCACAGGCAGCTTTTTGCGAGATTAAAGAATTCGGGTTGTGAAAGGCGAAGGCAGAACGAGAGGTGCAAAAGTAAGATACCCACTTGAAAACGTCGCGGCATTTTCCTTCAGCATCCTCAGCTCGTTCCTCAGTTTGAGCATCGTCTCGTTCACGATACTCTTCTCGTTCTCATATTTGCTCTTCAAATTCGTCAACGCTACCTCCGCCGTATTCTTGTTTGATTTGAGTACCGTTCTTAACGTGGCGATCTGTTCCCGCTTAGCGGACAACAAGGCCTTTAACCTGATGACTTGCTCTTGAAGGTCTGTCACCTCCGCCTTGTTTTCGTTGACAGAAGCTGTAAAGAGATTAAAGAAATTTAGTTTGAAAATTTAACTGTTGCAACCTGACAATTAAACGAGCTTGAAGAACTGTTAAACCGTTGATGTGGAAATTAACTGTCTACCTACATCAGTGCTCAGAATCAGTTGCACTTTCGACCATCGTTGCGATCTTTGAAAGTGATTCCGAACACTGATCTGTATGACGAGATCGCAAAATAAGACTTGTCTCTGCAATGCAAGACCAGAATACTTTTAGGCGGTTAATACATGCACTCACCCTCGCAAACGTTGCAGACATTGGACTGCATTCCTTTGACGTTCGACAGTTCGATCGTGTGCTCTACGGAGCTCCTGAGATGCTTGATTTGGTCCATCGCCGTCTCTATATGTTTCGCGATCTCCTTTGCCTTGCCGAGACTCTCCAGATCCTTGATCTTGATGTCGGTCTTGAACAAGGTCCGGCACCAGTCCATCTTGCTGCTCTCCTCCTCCTTCTCGGGCACGATCTTCTCGTGGTCCAACACCACCCTCGAGGGCGTCTCGCCGTTGACCGTGCAGACGTGGTGGTAAAGTTGCGCGAGCTCCTCCGAGAGATTCTGCAGGTCGTTCTGAGCGGAATCGAGGAAACCACCCGCCTCGGCGGTGAGTTTCGACAGGGTGGACACGTCCGACTCGAGCTGCATGCTCCTCTGCTCCGTGTCCAAGAGCTGAAACGAAGGAACCGGGGCATTCGTCAATCATCGCGAACGAGAGGGCGCGATACCAGTCGCAACGGATGCATTAGGTTCGCTTTGCTCGATACTGCGTGTTTGTCGGAAGTTTATTCGCAAGGCGAGTTTGCAAAACTCGGGTGGTGGTGGTGGTGGTAGTATTATTTTTTAGGACAGAATATACACGGTTCTCTGTAAGTGAGACTACGGTAAAATCCGCGAGAATCGTGGGCGCGAGGCATCGTATACGATTTCTCTTGTCTTGAGCATCGTGCAAAACAGGCTCGGCGAGCTCCGACATGCTACGTTAGATGCGCACGAAATTTATAACAAGGAGGAGAGCGATGTCAATTCTGTGAGAGAAAGAGAGAGAGAGAGAGAGATAGAGAGAGAGAGAGAGAATACTTCTTGTTCCTAAGCGCATTCGGTTTCTGAGAAAGCCACGGTGCATAGCGGTATTACGATCCGTACACGTCGTTCCTTTCAAACGACGGCTAACACGATGATGTTCACTCGTTCAGATGCTAATGCGAGAGGGCGATCCGCGTGTGAGAATAAAAGGCGCGTGTTACGGGAAGAGCTGTCTCCCCCCTCCGGGTAAGAATAATATTCTCACACGTGAATCCAACATACAATGGAACGATGGTGAATTCGTCAGTAGCTTCGGAAACGTGTATGGTTAAGAAATGTATGAAGAAGTATATCAGAAGGAAGCGATACACGTGGTATAAATGGTGGTTTTGTTAGGACACTGAAAAGCGAGAATCTGTACGGATCATTAGAGGAGCCAACAAGACAAATTGTTATTGAATAATTCGGTAAATACGTCAAGGGGACCACACGTTCCAACCTTTTCTCGAAGGCTCTTCTCTGACTCGGGTATCTGAAACGCCACAATTTCCATTCAAGGTAACCGAATTTTGCATTGCACGTTTTGGCGCCAGTCGCACATCACACATTTATATTCTCGCCATTACCGAACTCTCGTTTTCTTACTCTTTCGTTTCTCTCTACGTCTTACAACAGTCGTTTAAACACGCGCTTCTGCCCTTCGTCACGACGTCGCGACAATGCCGACGCTAATGTATCTCCGAGAAAGCGCGCGATGAAGGACGATGAAGAGCTCGTACCTTATTTCTCAGATTCGTCAACTCCGTTCTCAGCTGCTGCGTCGAGTCGGACACGGCCAAGCCGTTCTCCAGCTCCGCTAGGTCTTTCTGCAATTGGGTGATCTCGCGAGCGGACATAGTACTCCATTGATGATATTGCACGATAGCCTATGAAAAAAAATATGACCAAGTGCGCCGAATTAAAAATGATATTTCGTAACAACGGCTCTGCTTCGTTTCACCAAAGAAGAATAATTCAGGCCAACAATACCCTAAGCATGGATGTTCTACTAGCCTATAAATATTAATACAGTTAATATTAATCGTGGGAAGATGCATTAATATTAACATTGACTGTGGCAAATTCTCCACATTGCTGAATAAAAGATTCGGACGTACGTCAAACACACGAGATTAACATGTATTTTTCCCAGCGATTAATATTAACTATTCTAAAAATAATATTGTTGCGTCCGGCTCTCCTTCAGAACATTTTCTTCTACTCGCGCACAAATAAAAAACCATGTCGTTTAAAAGTATGTTATATATTAATTGCTACAGCAGCCACAATTAGGCTCTGAAAGGCTCGTATTAGATCTCTTCGTGATAACAAAGTGTCGTTAGAGTAATGTTTCATACGGATAATACAAAATGCAAGTCATCGCATGTAATTCGTCTCTCACACATTATTAACTCCGATTAGCCTTAATCCACGTACAGTCGGTGTCACGTATGCAATAGGATTCCCTAGACGGGGAATTGCACGATTTTCATTTCTAAGGCCGTTCTCAATAGCGTAAACATAGACGTAGGATTGTGGGAATAATAGTAATAGTGAACGTTGTACGACAGTTTAATCTACACACGAGTAAAGATATGTCGTAACTTGATTACGACGATCAATCATAATGCAGTTATCATCACATCATTTCCATAACAACACTCTGATTAGTTGGCTCTTGTGTCTTACGCTGTCGTAGCCGTGAGAGAAAGTGCCAACTATCTTTTGCAACACACGACCGGTAGTAGCAGTAGTTTACAACTGCGTTTTACGGCACTTTACAGCCACTTACAGTTACGTTTACGCTATCGTCAAATGTCCTTTACGACATGTTACAACGACGTATAAGTAATTCTAATTAGAAGGATGGGCCACAATGGCTCTAATTATGACACGGGTTTGACTTTGACTGTGTAAAGCTGAAAATCGTACAATTCCCGATCCAGAGAATGATATAGCATACCTGATTGAGTTTGTCCAACGTCGTTTCTTCGCTCTGCTTCTCGGGCAGCTTGGAGTGAAGATGATGCAACGATTGCACGTGCGCCGCCAGCTGCACTATCCGCGCGACGAAGGTCTGCAGCTCGCCCTGGCTCTTCTCGACCGCGTACTGCGACTCGCGTAGGTTCTGCATCAGATGAGCCTTCTCGGTCTCCGCGAGCTCCAGCTGCTTCTCCAGCTTCTTCAGCTCGTTCAGATGGATCTCGGAGAACAAGTCGACCTGCTTGTCGGTCGCGGAGGTGCCGGGCTCTTGCGTCTTCAGGTCCGCCTCGATTCTGCGCAGGGCCGGCGAGTCGTCCTCGCCGTCGCTGCATATCGTCTGATCCTCCGTGATGCCGCGGATCGAAAGCGCGAGGTTGCTGAGGTTGTAGATTGACTCGCTGTTGATCCGCTGGTCCAGCTCCTTCTTCAGGGCGTACTTGGCCTCGCGCTCGGCCTGCAGAGACTCCAACGCCTCCTCCATCTGCTTCTCCGCTATCTTCTTCAGGTTCGTCAGCTCCTCCACCTGGCTGTTGAACAGCTCGACCTCCTCCGTCAATCTGCGGATCTCGTGTTTGGCACCTTCGAATTCCACCTGACTGGAGCGCAGACCGGACACCTGCTTCTGCAGTGAGATGTTCTCATCCTCCAGCTCGGAGTAATCCTGGAGGAGGCGGGTCTCGCGGAACCTGCATTCCCGCAATTCCGTCCGTAGCGACTTGCGCTCCGTCTCCGCCTGCTGGTGGTCCTTGCCGACCTCCTCGCGCTCCTGCAGAGCGTGGTCGCGTTCCGCCTCCACGCGTTCCAATTCGTGACGCAACTGAGGGGAGAGATTCGACAGGTCACAGAGGAAACGTTGCGTATACAGTGTCGATCCGGAGATCGACGGCAGCTAACCGGATACACACCTGTTTCGCTTCATTCTCTAGCTCTATGATCTGCGTTTGCAGAGAGGTTTCACGAGCGGCGCTCTCGTTGAGAAGGCTCTCTTCTTGCTCGATGCCGCTCTTTGTGGTCAGCTTCGTGGTGGTCTGGAACTTTGCGAGGGCCTAGAATAACGACGAAATCTATTTTATTCGCGCTCATGCGAGCGTGCAAAAAGTGACACAAGGTAGCCAGAGCTATTGTCCAGAGCTTGGCACAAGTATAACTCCTTGGAATTTTACTTCATGAGTAAATTCAACTACAAATGCACTTTCACCGGGTCTCTGAGGCGGATTCTTTGACAAAACAATTAAATATACCCAGATAGCCAAAGTTGCAGAAGCAGATCTCGCACTGTGCCTGCTGTGAAGTTTGCCGGCAGCTAATTGGCGGAGATACGAAAACAAGATAACAGAATATGGTGACAGATAACATTAACAACAGAAACTGAGTAAAATCTGTCGTTCTGTTCAAACTTAAACGAAACACTCTACAGATCTTGTTCAGTTTCCGCCGCCAATCTGCTGTCGAGTTACGTCAGCAAGCTCTGTCGACAGCACACAAACTTATGGATCTGCTGCAGGATTTTGAACGAATTTATTACAAATCTGCCAGTATACTGCTGACACTTTGCTTACTGGATAATTGCACAAATACAAGCAAGGGACTTGAGCGGCCGACACGGATGCGGCGAATGAGTCATTCCGCTGCCTACATTCCTCAGACCCATGGCTCATTCGGTGCACCTGCCAGAAGACCGGTCCCGCAACCACTTATGTACCCATTTCAAGACCTAATTCCAGACCAAATTCCATTCGGGAGAGACAATCAGATACTCCTCCCGAACTTTCTACTTGATACTTCGCTCCGCCGTTCCGCCGCTCCGAATTCCCCTGTGCCCTGCGTGCTCCACTAAACATTAATTAACGCTCGCGAAAAAGAGAAAAAGAGAGAGAGAGAGAAAGAAGGAGAGAGAAGTGTCGCAAGGTCAGGATAAATTCCCTCTCACTCCAGCGCTCTTTCGCGCCGCGTAGGCGGGCGTGTCGAGGCGGACAGCTGCGGAAAGGCCCGTCGCACTAACCTCCTGCGTGATCTCCAGCTCGTGCTTGGTGTTTTCGTAGAGGGCCTCGAGGTCGTTGCATCGTTGCTGCAGGGCCGACTTCTCCTCGAGCAGCGCGAGCCCGTACTGCGCCGACTGTATCTTCTCGGTGGAGGCTAAATCGAGCTCGCGCGACAGCCGCTCGATCTCGGTCCTCAGCTCCTCGAGCCCGTTGACGGCGGCGGCGGCCATTGCTGCCTGCGTCGACTGCTCGACGGGGATGATGACGACGGGGACGAAGACGACGATGTCCCTCTTTCTCCGAGAGCGTTGTTACCCCTCGTCGTGTTCCCTCCTCCTCCCCCACCGGCCGCTCGTCGCGCTGCAGCGGCTCGTCGTTATCACGAATGGAACTTACAGACGCCGGTCGCCGCGGTGGTAGCGCATCCCGAGCGCATCCTCCGGTAATCGCGTCGGGCCCGGACAGCAGCGGCAGCACGAGTGTGTTCTCGCGTCCGCTATCGCGCTCCTCTCCACGGGCTCTTCCTCCACCTCCGCGCCTTTTCACATCCTACCCGCGTGCGAGCCACTCGCCGATTTTGACAGATGCGCGACGACGACGACGACGATTCGGCGGCCACGATGGGGCGCGCGGTGGACGGCGGGGGCGCGGACGACCGGATGCATGTTCCGCGTTCGCGGCAGTCGTCGGTTCGTTCGGCCTTTTAACCCGTTTCGGTATTCCGCTCGTCCAGGCGCGCGCACACCTCAGGGCCGGCGCCACTCGCTCGGCGCCCCCGGACGGTTCTTGCGGCTTTGCAAATTCGCAGAGAAAAAGGAAACGGGAAACTGTACTCCCATGTGGCTCGATGGAAAATCCGTTGTTATTTAGGGAAAATATTTGTTTTCAACAAGAAAATTTACCTCATTGTATATTAAATATCGTTCCGTCGAAAGAAGTTCTTTAATATTTTTCTAACGTATTATTTCCTTTAAATAATTCATTGCGACAACCATTGCAATGTTTGGATGAAAATACAAAGGAAATATTATGTGAAAATATTTGTCGTTGGAGGAACCAAATACTCGTTCATTTGCTTCATTCCAAAAGACAAATTTGCTTCAATTAATTATATTAATCGGCGAATCTCCCATTCTGTATATTTACGGATACACGAACTTACGAAATACTTGAAACAAGCAACGTTTACTTTCCAATACTGCATATATTTTATCGCGTTTACGTATCAGCCTCTCATATTTCATTTCCTCCGAATATGAAACAATTCTTTTCGCTACTCGCAAATATCTTCCATTCATTCGGCTTACTAATCGTTACAGATTCATCGCAAGTACCCGGAAAAAAGAAACGTGTACGAAGTAATTTAAAACCAGCCGTTCGGCTCTCAAACGACTTTCAAACGTACACGTTCTTCGTCAATCTTTGATTATTAATTAAAAAAACGCTCGTCCTGCCGGTAACACCAGGCACCGGGGCGCTCATGTTTCCTCAGCGAGCTCCCTCACTGAAGGTAATCATTCGTAGGTGTTTAAATGTCACCTGAGACGAAGGGTTGAGACTCTGTACCCTGTATGGCGTATTCTTCGATTGCTAGTTGTTAAAAAATCATGCAATTCGATACCGCTTATAGCGCAGAAAGTATCTTGCCGTGTACAACCAACGATATTTACACCGCACGTAGGAAGTGTCGCGGTCCCCGAGTCGAGGTACACGCGGATATCGACATTCGTGTTTCGCGTCGTGTCGTACGTAGTTATTTATAAATTCCGTCGTTAGACTATGAAAAATGACATGAAATTACAATCCGATCCGCAAGGCCGCGCGCCGATATGACGCACGCGGAATTGCGCGCAGCTGTGCGCATAAATTTCGGCGAGAACGAGAGCGTGCGGAATATCCGTGAGGTACACACTATGTGATGATACGCGGGCAATTGCTGATTAATATTCACCGGGGCCCATTACGCATTTACGATGACACACCGGATTGCGTGGACGCGAGCAGGAGCATGCGTGTATCGGCGAGATTACGTAATTCGCCTTCTAGCGATCCATACACGCGCGCACAGGTACACACGTACATTCAGCGTACACACACCGACGTGATCGCGCAAATCATTAGCTGCGAAATTCACCAGCGAGCGAGCGAGCGAGCGACCGACCGGCCAACCTGTGGATTTTTCGCCGATTCATTATGTATTTAATTCCGTTTAACGAGCGGATCGTCGGCCGGACCGTCGGCGTGTGAGTCTCGTCCGAATTTTCGACGAGCTGCAAGCAATGGAAAGAATACATCCGTACCGTTGAATTTTGTCGCTTTATTAGCACGAACAGAGTTCACTGTGTTGTCAGCATAAAAAAACTGAGTCCAACGAAATGATACTTTAATTACAAATGCGTCGCATTACGTTTGGAAAGAGTACATGTGTAAAAAATAACTATATAACTATATGATTATAATTAAATTACCATTCCGCCTCTCTCTCTCTCCTAGTGTTCGTACTAAAATTCTTACGTATAAAAATTCGAATTCACGTGCCACTTCTGCGAACTCACTGAGGACGCACATACGGTATCAACTTAAACGACGGGAAGATCCGCATCGAAGTAACCGCATCGAAGGGAACGAAAAGAAAACTCGTTTGCCTCTCCATACACATTCTATTTCAAAAATTCAGTTTAAAAACATAACTTCGAATACTTCACAATCCTTTTATTAGTTCGTAGCTTATTTGTTTTTTTTTTTCACTTCTTCCTCTTCATCCTCCTTGTCTTCTTCCTTCTTTCTTTCTCGCTCTCTCTCACTCTCTCTCTCTCTCTCTCTCTCTCTCTCTCGTCTGCTTTTTTTAAGTATTAATAGAGATTAGTTTAATATATAAGTCGAGCCGTGGACCCGGCGTGCGCCGCCGGTCGAATTAAATTCATACACTGTAACAGTCGTATTCTTTACAATATTCATACGTAAGTCTTGTAGCAGAGACAAAAGCGCAGGTGCCCTAATCGCACTCCTTTTTTTTATACTTTTTTTTTTTTCATATAATTATTTGTATGCTCGTCTGAATCTCTGGTGCTGCCGGCGTAACCGGACTCGGATCGCGGAGGGAAACTACTAATGGCCTATGATAAACCGACGCTCTCTCACCTTACTTAATCGCTTACGTCTTTCGACATCGTGCATCAAGTACTTTCAGAACACAACGCCCGCCCTCCGACAAGTATTGTCTCCCAACGAACATGTCCAGTCAATAAAAATGCGACGTGGTCAATGAAAACGAGAAGGGCTGAGCCTCAACCGCAATTTAATCTGTAATTTGCTCCCTAATTCTGCGATAACTGCACAAATTCAAAAATCGTCTCCTGAGTGTATCCCAAGGAATATTAAATCTTTTCGATACGGAAGGTAATCATATCTCAAGCAAGATCGTCGAGGAGAGAGAGAGAGGAAGAAAAGCTTCTCCTCTCGGCGTACGAATGTCACGGCTCACAATATTGAAGCGATATTTCGGTTACTCTTCCGGATTTGTCGATTTCGCGAAACAACAATGCAGACGATGAAACCAAGATCAAGGTTCCTTTGCACACTCAACCAAGCCCATCGCATGCGGGGGTTCACACCGGTCCGAGAGACGACTTGGCACGATTCTCCCGGACCCTCGGATTTTGGTCCTTGAAGAACTTGACGCGAGACACGCAAGTCCACGCACCGCCAGCACCAGAGACCGTCGCGTTCCGATAGTAGCGAAGTACAATTTGTTTGATCCTCTCCAAGTCTCGTCGTGAGTACTAGCACACCGAAACTACGCAATGAGATCCGGCATTAAGTCTCGAACAGAGTGTGTAATTAAGTGTATAAAATTCTTTACTGCTTGCAGGACACCTGGGTTACCGCGAAAATTACACCGCGGGCCGCGTCGGCCCGGGGCCTTCCTTCCACCGAGATAGTCAGGCACGCCTGGCTTCTGAACGTTAAATACACAATTGTCGCTGCTGGTAAAACCACTTTTGAGCTTCGCACGCGGACGAATCGCGCGAATTCGCGGCTTCTTCCTCTTCGTCTTCTTCATGGGGCGATGATCCGGGCGCGTTACGCGGGCGCACGATCCGTCCGCGTGTTCATCATTCGGACTAAACAAAGACTCGCCGTCCAACAACTTCGAAGATGCCGAGGATACAGTAATATGTCGCGTCGTGTTAGCGTGAATATGGTCCGGTAGATTTCTGAAAGTAGTCGGAATTCTAAAAACGCTTCTCTTATCCTAATTGCGTTGCTCGCTGTCGCACACGCGAGTCCGATAACATGCCTTCCACCACCACCAGTGAGGGTATTCCGCAGGGCCGCCGGGCACGAACGTATACACACACCATTACCGATAATTTTATATAACTAATTACTGTTACATATTCTGTGTATGTGTGCTATATAATATTTATATATATATAGAAATCATTATAATTATATCATAAATATATAAATAATATTTATATATCATTATATAACCTTGTATATATAAATATTGTATATTGCTGTGTTATACATATGTAAAGCGATCCTAGTCAGATTTTTTACTGTTGCTCGTTTCATACGATTACTCAATCACCAATTCTTCTCGAAGACGGCGCCGCCCATCCGAAATAACCAGGCCTGGGATGAAAGGCATTTATCGAAGTCACGTGTATCTTTGTTTTTTTTTGTTTTCTTTAATTTTTATGAACACTGCGCGCTGCGATCGAACTTGAGCCGCGGCCTCGCCAACGTGATTTCATCGCATGGGCAATACGCGCTCGCGTCTCTCTTATATTCGCCACTTGATGTTCTTTCACGAAAAATCTCGCTTTGTACTCGCGTCAAAACGTAAATGGTCATACCCGAGTCCGCGGGGAATAGACAAACTTTTGCAGTACTATTATGTTTTCTTTTTTTCTCATTCTCTCGAATCCGTCAATTTTTTACTCTTTAAGATTTTTGTCTTCTTCTTCTTCTTCTTTTTCTCGCTCTTTTTTCTCTTTAAGTCGTATCTACAAATTTTGCTCCTACAACGTATAAGTCACACGAGCAAGAAATATATAAAACAAAATTCGGTCGCACAATGAGTAGCGTGGTAGTATCTATACATGAAAAATATATTCCTCGTGTAGAATATAAAGAATATCGCATTAATCAGAATTAGTCACCAGCAACGACCAGAGTATAGCTAGCTTTTTACAGTACAAAATACAGCTCCTGCACATATGCATAAATATATGTATACACATATGCGCATATATATATACATATACCTAGTAACGAAGTATTTTCAGCAACATGTAAGGATATAGTAAGGTTGGTACAGTCCAGTTATGGGCACCTCTCATCTCAAGTCCGTCAACAGTCCGGCGACGGTATGAACTATATGAGCTATAGTCGCGTTATTAACAATTATATGATTGTACGTACAAAATGTGCCAACTTGTACAGACCACCGTGTTTATATGTATATATACATACATATCGATGTAGCGATCGTTTTGTTTCAAACGTATTATACTGGTATAAATCACGACGCTTCCTTCCCTCCTTGTGTCCGGAGAAAGCGCGTGTTTCTTTTTTCTCTCTCTTTCGCCCTACTTCGTAGAAGTCGGGGGATACACAAGACCCAGTACAACTGTATATAAACCCGTAAACACTGACAATCCTACAACTATGTTTCGCTTTCTTGTCCGTCCGTCCGTCCGTCCGCGTACGACGGGGCCGGACGAGTCCGGTAGAAGTAAAATAGTAAAAGAAAAAGAAAATAAGAAACTCAAAGAAAAAAAAATATGACGTAGTAACAGCTCGGGCGAGATCCTCATTACATCCTTACACATTAAAAATTAGCGTTACTAAATCTTATTTTTATGCATTCAGGGCCGGCATGTGTTCTCGCTTTCTCTTTCCATTCCCGCTTTCGCTTCCAAATTACCTTTTCTCTTTTATTTTTTTTTTCTTTGTGAGTGTCGGCTAGAGAGTTCGAGAGGGAGGACCGGAAAATACAAGATGCGTGGATGCGAAAAGTGTCGCGACGTGAGCCTGTGCCTGTGTCAATGGCGAGACGTCTCTCTCTCTCTCTCTCTCTCTCTTTCTCTCTCTCTCTCTCTCTCTCTCTCTCGACGGACGCAAACCACCGGTATATCTGTCCGTTCTTTTTCTCTTTTTCTTTTTTTTTGTACCTACTAACCCGTCACCTGTCTCTGTAAAATTTGTTTGCGTCTTAGAAATGCGAGAGCCGCCGAGGGAGTGCATGTACGAAGGAGATGGCGCGCGCACAAACGCCGACACTTCGCGAGACCACGTGTAGCTCCTTCCCGAGTATCCATACATCTTGCATCGGAAAACAATGCGCGTACGAGACAGTTCGAAAGTCAGGGGACAGAGGACTCATGTCTCTACTCTAATTCAATCGAATGTTTATAATATTATTACATACGTGTATGTATATAATGCGCGGTGACTGTATGTGTGGCTTGTGTGTATATATACCATGAACGTGTAACATGGTAAAAACGTCGGACGTGTTACCCTGCGCTCACGCACACGTTGTTGTTCTGTAGTAGAAGAGAGTAAAGCTCAAGGCGCACGGCGCTTGTGTCTCTGTGTGATGGGGCGAGCCGGTAAATTCCTAGAAATCAGCCCACAGAGAACGCAGCATTCCTATGTACCATGTTTACCACCGATCTAGTCGGATATCGACTAGTCGTGATCACATATAGTCAATGCTGCGACTGCTTCTTCGCGACAAATTTTACTCTCCTCAATTTCGCGACTGAAGTCTGTTCTCGCTCGTTTCTAGTATTTTACCACGTCGCACGCGCGATCCAGCACGAGAGCACACGTACCGTGTGCCATGGGCTCACTAATGAGTGCATTCAGAAAACACAATATTCGACTGGAACGGTCTTGACCGTCGAGTGATTGATCAGCCTCCCTCTTTGACTGAGGCATTCGTTTGGCTCTATGGTAAATCCGATATATCCAGTGTATCCCCAATAAACGCTCGCTCGACTGTTGTGTTTTCTGAACGCAGCCAAAGTAATCATATGTTATGTCGCATGTATGTGTGGCTTGTGTATGTGTGTGTGTGTGTGTGTGTGTGTCAGTGTAACAGCAATAAAAACTTAAAGACATCGTTAAGAAAAAAGAAAAACCCTTGCGAAGAGAACAACGGTGGGTAGAGAAGGTAAGGAGATTGGGGATAAGGGGAGGAGGGCTTGGATGGCCTCCGGGAGTAGGGAGCATGGAGAGATGGAAATCCGAACGACTACGACGACGACGAGGATGAGTGCCGGCGTCGGCAACGTCGACGACGACAGCGGCTGAGAGGAGATTACAGCGGCTGTAAGGAGAGACGACGACGGCGACGGCGTCGACACACGCCATCCGCACATTGTACGCGTCAACGAGACATACGTCTGCACATCCCTACCTAGTTATAATACTCGGTAGCGACGCGCGTGACGGTAAACAGCTTATCGTTATCGTGAAGCGAGCGGCACGGATTTCGGTTATCTCCTACTTCCTCTCGTCCTGGTCGCACTCACGGCTTATGTGACCGGTCTTGCCGCAGATGTAGCAAGTCTTGCCACCAGCCTCGGTGCAGTTGCGAGCGATATGACCCGTCTTGTTGCAGTTATAGCAGCTTTGCATGGCAAAGCGTCCGGACTCGTTGCCGCCCTCCGGGCAGCTGCGCGCCATGTGACCAGTCTTGTTGCAATTGTAACAACTCAGCTCCGGCCCCTATCGAGAAACAACTGGCTGAAAACGCGCGCGAGCCCATTCGATCCTGACGACGAAGAGAACAGAGGCACTTCGCAAGAAAAAGAAAAAAAAAGGGGGGGGGGGAGGAAGAAAGAAAAGAGAAACGCGCGGACAAGGTACTAACCTGCTGACAGTCTTTCGCAATGTGCCCGACACCATTGCAGCGGTAGCAAAGATCCTGATCCTCTTTGCACTCGCGCGCAAAGTGTCCGAATTGGTTGCACTTGAAGCATTTTTCACGCCCACGGCCGAAACCACCATCTCTGTCACGGCCGCGGTCTCCTCTACCTCCACCTCCGCCTCCTTGTGGGCACTCCCGCGCAAAGTGGCCCATGCGGTTACATTTGTAACATGCACTTGAACTCATTTTTTATGTATCTGCAATTGTACACATACGTATATTACTGTTATCATGAGACCATTGAACTCTGTGCACGCTCTCTCTCTCTCTCTCTCTCTCTCGCTCGCTCGCTCGCTCTTTCTCTCTCTCTCTCTCTCTCCCCTCCCCTCTTTCTCCCCCCCACCTCTCTCTTTCACTCACTCTCTCTCTCTCTCTCTCTATAACTCTCTCGCTCTGACATTATCTACAGTAGTATTTGCTTTCAATAGACCACGGTGATCTCTCTCAACAATAACGTGATAGCTCAAAAATTGCCAAATGTCATGTCCCTCATTGTCAGTAGACTCGGCTCGACGAGAGCTAGCCTCTTTGTCTCTACTTATCGCAACATATGCTACAGCCCATACTCGGCAATAATTATCCTCCAATTTTTCCGGCGGATCCGAGGGAGATGTACACTCGTGTCGTTCACACGACCAAAGTTCCGTGAGCCTCGCACAGGCTTATCTGTCACTAGACGCCAGCGGTTACGCGGGGGGGGGAGGGGGCTGCCCGCCGACTCTACTACTTCTACGCACGCCACGCACACTATCGGCCCATCGATAACGGCGAAAATACAAATTACATAATAGGTAGGAAACACAAAAGGTCGCGCGGGCGGATTTCGCGAGAGCAGTCTGAGGCCAAAGCACCCGACGGGACCCGACGACTCGGACGAAACGGAGCTGCCGTATCAACGCTTGCGCGAACCCGTCGCGATAGATGTCTCTCTCTCCGTCTCTCTTACGCGGCAATGGAGCTCGCGGGCTACGTGACGCGCCGGGGGGGAGGTGGGGGAAGGAAACCCGACAACGGGCAGGTGAACGTGCACTTTGTCGACGAAAGAGAGAAAAAGAGAGAGAGCCGGGAACACGCTCCGGGAGAGCGCAGGAGACTTCTGTCGGGACAAAAGCAGCGGGGCCGACGGCCGCGTCGTGGTTGCTCCGCGGCGCCGCGTCGCGTCGCCCGATGCCGGCCGGATCGGCGCGATCGAAGCGGCACGAATGTGGCGCATTAATAAAATGGCATCTCTGCCCTCTCTCTCTCTCTCTCTCTCGCGCGCGCGAGAGATGCGGGGCTTCACCGATGATCACGAACAGACATTATTGCGGACGGGTGAATCAGGATAACGCGGCGTTCCGCACGTGCCTCGAAGCCGCGCGAGGCGTCCGATACGCGCGGACCGAGAAAAAGCGGCGGGCGCGCGTACACGAGGTAGATGAAATCAGAAGGCGGCATCGGAAGTACGCGGCGCGACGGGATGCGATGTCGCGCCGCGTCCTGTTACCGTCACCGACGATGACGACGATAATGCGAATATCCGGCGGATTTTACCGTGGCGCGCGCGTGCGTGCGTACGTGCGTTCGTCCGTCCGTCCGTTTGTTCGTTCGTTCGACGATGCTCCTCCGATCTCACGGCGCCGTACCAACGTGGCTGCCAAGTCCGCTCGCTCGTTCGTTCCCTCGCTCGCTCGCTCGCCCGCTCACTCACTCACTCACTCTTCGCTCGCTCGCTCGCTCGGTTCTCTCCCTCTCCTTCGACTCTTTCTTTCTCTTTCTCCGTGCTCGCCCCCACTTTGCGTCGGTTTCGTGTATGGGTGCGATGCATGTACGTACGTTACATACATGCACGTACATGCATACATATATACATAACGCTCATACACGCACACACAACGTACTCTACGCGGCGCGAAGATGGCACCCGAGACTGACGCCGCGCGCGCGCTGCGCTTTTTTTGCGCCGGGCACGGAGGAAGGATCGCCCGATGGCGATAATAGCGACATACAGCCGCGGCCGGGACGCCGCGGTCGCGCGCGCCCTTGCGGCGCTCTCGTTCCTCGCCGGGATCCCACCTCCTCGAGAGTAGTGGCCTCGGGCTGGCGATTTTCCGTCGCGACGGACACGCGGCGTTCCTACGACGCCGCGTGTCCGCCGCAACGGGGGAGCCGAAGGCGAAGAGAACACGACCACGTGCCGCGCTCGACCGCCGTGAGAGCGGAAAGCCGCTCGCTCGCTCGCTCTCTCTCATCGGCGGCGGCTGCCTCGTGCCGTGTCGTCGCGGGTGCCGAGAAACTCGATGATTACTCACCTGGTTGCCCGTACCGTGGTTACCACCGAAACGCGACTGCTCCTCCTGCGCAACACCCTCTACGAGTTGGCTACACGTACGGTGACGATGCGACCGTGGGAAGAAGTGTTTTCCGTGTGAAAACTCGGACCGCGATTCGGAGCGGACGGCTCTCTGCGTCATAAACTATGAAAAGGAAGTTCAGAAACATATCGGAGACGATGTCTCGACGCGCCATCTGATTTCTTCCCCCTCCCCCCCCCGCGCCCATGGAAAACGCGAGGTGAGCGTGATAACGGAGAGTAATTAACGTCGGAATCGCGCGAATAACAACGTCTCCACGGCCGAAACGATCGGCTGGGCTCGTTCGCAGCATTAATTCGCGTCTCTTCTAATCGAGACAGTTTTGCGCATATCGCGCGGTAATTGCATGTTACCACACGTAGTTCGCGTTGATTGGCTGCTAGCCAATATTTGCAAATGCAACTTCATGTTAGATCGGTCGGGATTGGCGGAGCGTGGCATCGATCGAAATTCTTGAGCCGGAAGATCGGTGGGTATTTCAAAACGAAGCGAATATTGCAGAAGCGGGCGAATTTACTAGATTATTTATAATTTCATTACTCGACATTTAGTGAATTCGCTAACATTTATATTTCTCACTTTGTTTGGAAATTGACAATTGACCCTCTGAAGTATCTTGCGCAGCTATTTTTGAAGAAAAGAAACATCCCTCAAGTGTTGGATATCGATAAATTAACGATAAATTCGCGGATTCTTGTATTGTCCCATTATGTACATATAGTGGAGGTACGTATAGGAAGATATTTTATCGGATAATATTATTAGCATTTTTTAAATCGACGAATCATCGACATTTTTGTACTAATATTTGCATTTGTTGAAACAAATATACATAATTTTGTAATTCAATCCAACGCGTATGACTAAAAGACGTCTCAAAGATGTCAAGACGTTTATTGTCAAAAGACGTTTTAATGTTAAAGTCTGGAAATATTCAATACGAGAATAAAGAGTCGCTCCGTCGCTTCCGTCGTTCGTTGAAATAGAGCACTTCACCTTTCCATCGATCCCGTTATAACAACTGCTATGAACATCCCGAGTATTCGCAGAATTTTTAACGCAGATTAAAAATATAGTGACGACATCGTACAAAGATAAACAAATATCGTTTCACTTTAACACACGCCACGAGCCGACAATAATTGTCTGTTGCTATCAAATATGGGAAGTGTTTTGATTACCTCACACTCCCGATTGCGGAAGAAGGAAGAGACGGTTTCGTGAATCCATCAAATCTTGATTCGATCGATCAAGTTTTCAGATCCATCTTATTTCCGTGATGCGATGCGCGATACGCAACTGATCATTTCTTCAAAGAAACTTTTTAACATTAATGTACAAGATGCATTGATACCGCAAAGGTTATCGTCGTACTGAATGCTCCCATTTGCATAACCTGCATTGACATCGGCCATTTCATTAATCATCTCAAGATAAACATCTTGAGATAAGAACCGCGCATTTTTAAAGTAATGTAAGTCCACTTTCGGAATAATTATTAATTTCATTAATATGCGCTTACTAATTATTACGGGAATAATAAACAGACCAGAAATAGATTCACGTAATTTCCAAAATAAACGATACAATATAAATACCGCAAATACCAATAAAAACTGCAAACGTAACCATTACATTGCCTTTAATATCTGGTTTCACCATCACGGTTTAATTGACGATTAATTCAACGGAATTAATTAATCATATTAGTAAATTAGTTTAATTGATCAATGCGATTGGTCGATTCTATTGAGTTAATTATCAATTAGATTTAAGCCATGATGAAACCGGACGTAAAGTGAATGCGACATACGTTTACGTCAAGTTCTTGTGCGTTGACTTCGAACTACGACTTACATTTACGATTCTGTTGGAAATAGTTCCGTTAGATAATTTTTGTATGGAAGCTCTAAGGCAGAGAAAAACGTAACTGCATCCACACTATTACATCTCATGATTTGCGTCTACCTATTTTTTCTTTCTTTCTGCAGGATGTAGAAATTCATTCGACCTTGGTAAACCTTTGGTAAACCTTAAACAGGTAACCAGACCAGTTCGGAAACAATGAGAACCACAAAAGGTAACAGTACAAAAGCAGGTAGTCTGTAACAATGGAACCCAAAAGCAGGTAAAAGAGATGAAACTGTTTAAGAATGCAAGGTCAACTCAAATTGACTGTAAATATTTATAACTTTACAAAATTAAACATTATTGGATTCGTTTTTCATCCCCAAGTAATATAGACTTCTAAAAGGAGTCTACAAGACGTCCCATTTATTTAAATGTATTTAGCACATCTTTTAAAAGTTCGTGCTACCTGCATTCTTAGGTCAAGTCTACAATAGGTGTATTAGATCTTTTAACCGTGAGAAATAGACTACAATCATAATCGATTATTTTTCTAACATTCGACTGTGATTGGTAAATTTCTTCTTTTTACTTTTTGTGAATATACTCTTATATACTCCTACCCACTGTAGACTAAGCTTTTCAGGTTTGAAGCTTTAGTGTCGGTCCACAATAGATATTTAAGCCTTAGTGTCGGTCCACAATAGGTATTTTAAGCCTTAAGCCTTAAAGTACTTATTGTAGACCGACACAAAGGGTAAAATTACACGGTGCGTAATAGAACTGCGGAATAGAGAGTGCGTCATAGAAGCAACCAATCAACGCTACTCCGCTCTTTTCTATCAAGCAAGTTTTGTGTGCTGATTGGTTGCTTCTATGACGCACTCTCTATTCCGCAGTTCTATTACGCACCGTGCAATTTCGCCCTAAAGCGGGGTCTCTACAATGAGAATTTAAGGCGTAAAATTCAAGAAATTCACCAATCATAACTGATTTTTCTTCTATAATTCAACTAAAATTTTCATTGCAGACCTCACTTTAGTTATATCATCCATCAGTCTAGTTTACAAGAGCAAAATTCTTCGCTGCCATGCGGTGACGCCATCTTACCGGCCACGTCTGTATATCGATATGTCCACGACTGCCATATATTTCTCTTTATCGGAGATAACCGTTGTCAACGTACCTCGTAAGCCGGTAGCAGTAGAAAACACGAGTGTCACCGCTTTCAATATCCTAATCAGCGGTACGTAAACGAGAAGACACCAAGGATGTCTCGGTTGCGTGCGAGCGTGCTGATCTGCGTCCTCGCGCTCTGCGTGTGCCAGCACGTTCACGCCGCTGTCGATACGAACCTCGTGGACCCGGACTTGGTGGTGAGGAATGTCGAACGGCACATCGACTTGCAGTCGCAGCTAACGAAGATCACGAGCCGTGTGGTCCTGGACAACAACAGCAAGGACCGCGCCACGCAGAGCTTCCTCTTCTGTTTGACCAGCGCGCAGAGGCACAACTCTCTTAGTTACATAGCGGCTCGTGTAGAACCCGGTAAGCTGGAACTCAAAATAACAGAGACTAAGTTGGAAGGTCACCGTGACAAAGTCTTCTTCTCCATCGATCTTGCCAATCATCTGGCACCTCGTCGCACTCTTACCATTGAAATAGAGACTATACTTACGCACGAGCTTGTGCCACATCCTAAACAGATCGCCCAGCAAGAGAAACAGCTAGTCAAGTACATAGGCAATGTGTTTGCCTATCTGCCATATGCAGTAGCCAAGCAGACCACCTTTGTAGGATTACCCTCACGCAACATCGAGAGCTACACCAAGATCAAACCAGTCTCGCAGACTGGCTCCGCGATAGTCTACGGTCCATTCGACAAGCAGCTGCCGTACGCTCATGAGGAGCTGACGGTGCACTTTGAGAATAACAACAAGTTCCTTACTGTGACTAGGTTGGAAAGAACCATCGAGATTTCTCATTGGGGTAACATAGCTGTTGAGGAACATATTGACCTTCTACACACTGGGGCCTTGTTGAAGGGATCTTTCTCTCGCTATGAGTATGCACGAGAGTCAAAATCTGGACAGGCTAGTATCCAGAGCTTTGACACCATCCTACCAGCGGCAGCTTCCGACATCTATTACCGGGACGAGATCGGCAACATCTCCACGTCGCACACCCGCATCAAGAAGGACTCTGTGGAGCTGAACCTAAGACCTAGATTCCCGTTATTCGGCGGCTGGAAGACTCGCTATACGATCGGCTACAATGTACCAAGTTACGAGTATCTCTTCCATTCGGGCGACGAGTACACTCTGGAGATGAGGCTGCTGGATCACATCTTCGACGACATGGTCGTGGACGAGATGGTGCTGAAGATCATTCTGCCGGAAGGCGCGCGAAACATGAAACTGGAATTGCCGTACCCGGCGACCCGCTTGCCAGATTCCCTGCATTACACGTACTTGGATGTCACCGGTCGCCCCGTGGTGTCCATTACCAAGAAGAATTTGGTAGAGAATCACATCCAGAGCTTCAGGTTCAAGTATACATTCCCACGTTTCCTGATGTTGCAGGAGCCGCTCTTGGTCGCGGTAGCGTTGTACCTGTTGTTCCTGTTAGTAATTACATACGTCAGGTGGGACTTCTCCATCGATAAGGACGAGGCATCGGAGAGCAAGCTGCGGATCGCCGGCCAATGCGAAAAGATACTGGCTGCTCAGGATCGCCGGATCAATTCATACAACGACCTGGACGATCAGTTGACGTGTCTGAAGGCCAACAAGGATGCCAATGCGTTCCTCGCCGCGGTGAAGGGCATCAACCAGGAGTACAAGGCCGCCACCGGTGCGCTGAATGAGATCTCGCAGAAGTTGAAAGGTGAATCCGGCGATGTGTATGAACGCGTGCAGGAACTGCAAAAATGCGATCGGTCATTGAAAGAGCTCTACAATCAGCAGCAGACTTTATACGTGGATAAGCTGGTTCCTGGCAAGATCGGTCGGCAGCAGTTCGTCGAGGCGGAGTCGGCGATCGCGAAGAAGAAAGAGGAATGCGCTGAGAAGATCAACGCGATCGTGAAGTCGCTGCAGTAATCATACTTTAGCGAGTCAAGACACTTGATTAGAACAGAGAGAAGCAGAGAGAGAAAACAACGGTGTGTTTGTGATATAACAACATTAGACATTATTATGTTCCATACGACAATGTTAACAAATTTCATTTACGAAATGGAAGAAGTTGAACAAAGGATTCCATGCATTTAATGCGCGTTACACCGCGAGGGGAACTCTATAACTATCATAAGTTAAAATTTATAATAAATATTTAGAAAAGAAAAAACTTGTTTTTGTTGTACTTCTCTATAATATGATAGAAATATAGATTATATATAAATATACGTATAGAGAATAAAAGTGTGATTTACATACTGAACACGTGCGTGAGATCTGCTACGAGATGGCGCTAAGAGTACGTTCCACTTAACTCTCGCGACGACCGTAAGCACCATTCTATTCTTGTTTCTCTTGGATATTAAACAAAGACAGAATGATCGTTGCGAGCGTTAAGTGGAAGCTGCTTTAAAGGTCGTAAGTTTCCAACAAATAACATGGAGCAACGCAAGTGTGAAAATTCGTAACTGTAAAGCCGTAGTCGCAAAAGTTTCAACACGTTACGATTAGTCTTACGGTCAACCAATAGGGAAGCAGTTTCATGTCGTTGACCAATCATGATCGATTATTCCCCTTTTTGGCCGAAGAATAATCAACTAGTTTTCTTACAGATTTACAATTATGATTATGAAAAACCTCACAAGTTCTCAAATCTATAATTATATTTACATACTTACATATCATTACATATATTACAATTACATAATTACAGTTAAAAAATCGAGAATGTCGAGAAAAAATGTAGGTTATAGTTCGAACAGAACATTCCTCGTTTGTGCAGCTATATAAGTCAGCGTAGACTTTAATGCTTTTTTTCTAAAGCAGATAAAATCTTATGATTAAAAATTTGTTGCGCAAATGACCAAATGTGTCATTCTGTTCTTGTCGTATATCTAATGACAAGGAACGAGCGAAAAGGCAATACAGAATTAAAGGCCAATTTTATAACTTCCGATCAAATTAACCGATCGGTTAAATGTCAAAAAATGTGATTGTTTATATTTCTGATCAATTCTGCTCAGCGACAGATGCGATTTATCAATTCCAATAATCAGCGGGTTAAGTTAACCGGAAGTTGTAAAACTGGCCCTAAATTAACCGCAGGTTGTGAAAGTGACCCTTAAAATTATAAATAAATCATTTTTTTTTTATTCAAAAATTACGAATAACAAGACTTCAAGAACTCGTAAGTTGTAATGATAAGTTGTAATGACCAGTTTTAAGTTTTGAAATACATTGGATAAGGATTTTCATAATACTTCAGTATCTGCATGAAAATTATTGAGAAATTGCGCGAATTTTTTCATATTTGTTCAAATTGATATAAAGATGTATCAGTGAATAAAATCTGAAATATTTCATAATTATTATATATACTTATATATGACAAATTCTGAGATATTTTTCACCAGGATAATGTCATTCCTTTTACACTTGTATAAATTACCTGCATCCCTTTTTGAATTGTATAAATTACTTGCAGGCCCTTCGGAACTCCGAGACCCGCATGAAAATTTACCCAGGGCTGAATGGTCTTCAATATCATCTCGTCGGTGGATCTGTTGCTAAATTTCTATAATAATATCTGTTTCTATATTTAAGAAAAACCGCACAAGTTCTCAAATCTATAATTATATTTACATACTTACATATCATTACATATATTACAATTACATAATTACAGTTAAAAAAATCGAGAATATCGAGAAAAAATGTAGGTTATAGTTCAAACAGAAAATTCCTCGTTTGTGCAGCTACATAAGTCAGCATAGACTTTAATGCTTTTTTTTCTAAAGCAGATAAAATCTTTTTCTAACTTAATTGCGAAAGGAAACAAAGAATTCGATAGAAACACGAGAATTGGATCAATGGCATACATACGACGTCAAAGATCGAGCGAATGATTACTTCTGCGCATGAAACGCGATGTCGTCAGTCTCACCCATGTGTCAATCCGTGTTGCCGGTCAAACGAGGGACACCTGCTTTCCCTCTTCTTTTACTTTTCCTCGGGTCAGTGTCTGCTCAAAACGGCTCACATAAGAGTGCTTTATGTTCGGAGCTAGAATGACTAATTTACGGAAATTCATAGGTAAAGGCAAATATGTTGCCCACATACCTGCGTTCGATGATGTCGTAAATTCGTAAACGCTCGCGTGCCGAGAGGTTATACGATGAAATCGATGTTGATAAAATCGCTTCTAATCGATTGGTCTGCGGATTTTGCGTTCCCGTATGCCCTAAAACAAAAATAAAAAGATTAAGTTCATTCGCCGATGATGCATGTAGCGAGCGTGCGTGTTTTTTTTTCAGGATTTTTCGTTGAACAGTTTGCTAACTTTTTACATTTCAAGTAAAGTAAGTAAAGTAAGTAAATTAAGTTTGTTACATTTCAAGTATTTCATGAAATTGCGAATTTCTCGACACGCTTGCTCCAGTTCCACGATGCTTTGACGATATTTTATCGTTAAGTGACGTTCGTAGTAGAAATATGTGGAATATTCTGTACAATTTGTCTAAGATGATCTCGTCGGATACAGACATCCTTTGTTCCAATTGTTACAGACATTGGTGCCAATTTAACAGACCCCGTTTACCAAGGGATTTATCACGGGTTACAGAAACACCAGCCAGATTTGGATAAAGTATTGGAACGAAGTTGGAGCAACAATGTTTCAAAGATCATTATTACAGCTGGCAATATCGAAGACAGCAAGAAGGCTCTCGAGATTGCGAGAACTGATGGCAAGTCTTAATAATATATCTTGAAATATTCTAACACAAAATAATTAATCAATCAATAAACTTAATTAACAAATTCTGTGGAATATTCTTTCGACATGCATAGTGTAAAAAACAACTTTGTATTTTCTGCATGAGAAGTTGATCGCTATTGATTGCAAACTTCCAGAAAGGTTGTATTCAACAGTGGGTTGCCATCCGACCCGCTGTCAGGAGCTGGAGGAATGTAGTGATCCAGAGGAATACCTCAAGTCGTTGTCAGATCTCGCGTTGAACAACAAAGACAAAATCGTCGCGATCGGCGAGATAGGCCTGGATTACGATCGACTGCAGTTCTGCCCTAAGGACATCCAGAAGAAGTACTTCGAGATGCAATTGTCCCTGTGCTCCACCCTGAAGCTGCCGATGTTCCTGCACTGTCGCAATGCCAGCGACGACTTCGTGCGAATTTTACGGAAACACAAGGATAAACTGACGGCGGGAGTCGTGCATTCCTTCGACGGCAATCCGGAGGACGCGAATTCTATACTGCAGTTAGGCTTGTACATCGGCGTTAACGGATGGTACGATAATCACGGGGATTATTATCGTAAAAGACGTTATAACAGAAAAATAAAGTCGACAACACGTTTCAGTTCCCTGAAGACGGAGGAGAATCTCTTCGCGGTCACCACTATTCCCTCGGATAGGCTCATGATCGAGACTGACTGTCCGTGGTGCGAGATCCGACCGTCGCACGTGTCCGCGAAGGACGTTATAACGCACTTCCCGGGTGTGAAAAAAGAGAAGTGGCAAGCAGACAAAATGGTGAGAGGGCGAAACGAGCCGTGTACGATAGTGTGAGTAGTTATTATAGTAAGTGGTTATTATACATATCAATTAAAGAACAATCTCAAACATTAGCATTCTTTTCATTCTTACAGTTGCTTCTTCTTGCAAATTAATTTTCCTTAACATCCTTACGTTTACTATTTTTACAGCGATGTTTTAACTTAAAAATTACATTTATATACATATATATTTTTTGTTCACACAATATACACACATGTTTCTATGATTTCTGTGTTTACAGTCAAATATTGGAAGTTCTGGCACGAATCAGGGACGAGGAAGAAGAATACCTGTGTAACCAAATATACAAGAACACGATGAAGCTCTTTTTCCCGTACGAACTATAGTATGCGGAGAAAACGCAGAAACGCAATTGGACACCGGGAACTAAACGGCATTAGCGCAAGTGCGTGGGAATAATTGAGAGAAATTGTGACCATGTGCAGAGAAAAAAACTTCGTTCAACGAACACAGCTCTCGAGAGGGATGTAATTGGTGGACTTAAAAGCACGCACCAGCCAATCAAGATCAGCTGCTCGAGATCACGTGACAGCCCGTATTAAGTGGTGGGGGGCTTCGTGTCCCAGAAGTACTAAAGGTTTATTGAGACGAAATTTGCGTAGTCACATAATATATATGTACCAGGAAAATGCCAGGAGACCAAGCATGCGTCCAATATAGAAGACATCCTTTTGATGCTCAGCTCATGATTGGTTGATTTCTTTATGCATATGCAAGTTCGTCTGGATGGGCCTTAAGGCCTGTCAGGCCTGTTACACAATAGTCACGTTCAGCAGAATAAATATTTTGCAACCATTGGTAGTTTTCTGAGTTGAGATTGGATTATTCTTTTAGATCTAGAGGAATAATCCAATCTCAGCTCGGAAAATTCCCAATAGTTGCAAAATTAACGTTCTTCTGAACGCGGCTAATGATTGCGTTTATAGCTCTTGCAGGCCAGCGACACGCGATATCCAATGAGCATACCGAAGAGATTTTTCTCGAAGAGCTGCACGTTCATTGGACATCTCTCGTGTCGCGCTGGTCTACGAAAGTCGTTAGCGACAACATTAAGACGCCTGGGTATTCGCTGTGATTGTCTTCGTTTAATGATGTCAGAAACGAGAAAACGCATGCCAAGTATTCTCGCGTTATACGTTAAAATAAATGTATCCATGAAAATTACATTTTCGATCGATTCAGCACACTTGTAAAATTGCCCGAACACTTTTCTTTTACTCGAACAATCTTGCAAGTGTGCTGAATCAATTACAAATAGTTTTGTGGATATATCTTTTTATTTGAATGTATAACACAAGAATTCTTGGAATGCGTTTTCTCGCTTCTGACGTTATTAAACAAGAACAGTCGAGTACCTAAAAGCCTTAATTCTTACTTAATTAGTTTAGTTAGCGAGCTCTTACATTTAGTTGGGGTATATTTTCAAATTTAAAAGAATATATCAATCGGATGCAAGAGCTCACTAACTACAATTGTCACTAAAAGCCGTGTAACAGGATTCGATAGAAGTCATATGTAGGAACATAGAATTTATTTCTTGAAAACGAAGAAAACTCGTTTTCGAAAAGTAAATTTTCTCATTGAACTCTCATCAATTACATTCCGATATGATTTATTGTGTAACAGGCCTAATCGTGATAAGTTTTATTCGACGATTGAGTGACTTATAGAAGATGGATGTGATTGGTGGATATAAAAGTATAATACACCAATCGTATACTTTTTATTAAGGATTTCGAAAATTGCTGTGTTCACTGAATGTTGAAAAAAAAGAAAGACACCATCGCCCTGTCGGAGGAGAAAAGATGACACTAATTTTTACAGACGTAGCTTTATGGAAGTGGCTGCTGTCACTATCCACAGATCTCTTCCTATGTAAAACTTTAATATATTCTTGTTAAAATATTATTATCATTGTCATCATAATCATCTATTGCATTTTCTCGCTATTATTATTATTATTATTATTACTGTCATCTCATCATCATTATTATTATTATTATTACGATATTTATTAATACTATTCTGCTACTCCTATGAATATATCACTGTTGTCACTATTATTGCTACGACCCATTTCACCAGATGTTAAAACGTTTCGTTAATTAACTATTACAAAAAGTCTTCGCACTTCGGTCGTTTTTTTTTATTGTATCCACAAGAAAAGCTTTGTTATGAAAAATGATATTTTTATTTAATAACTCAATAACCGAATATATCATTCAATCAATATTTTCAAAATTATAAATGAAAATACAAAATATATTCAAGTCTGCCGTACATACAGAGACTAACATGTGTTATCTAGATTACTTGAATAATGATTTCCAAGTCACAAGTATCTTAATAAAAGTGAATGTCTATGATTATTCGTATTAATCAGAAGCTCACGAAATTTTACATGTCAAGACC